ATGTCCCGGCATGATCTATCTTTATGTAGAATTTTTTTATGTATGTGACTATCATCACGTCACAAAAGTTATTATTTTTTAAAATGACCAAAATCTTTGCGGTTAAGCATTGCCTACTCAATTTTAGTATTGAAGGACTATTGTTGATGACGGTAGCTTCCACAGTAGCCTGACTTGCTCCATACAGGGACCAAAAGCGATATTTCTGAAAACATATACAAATGAGAATTCATTATACTCATTGGAGAGAGAGGTAGCGGAAATGGCATTTGTACCCAAGATCTTCAAATTAGTTTCACGTCAATTAATAAGAAAAGATTAAGTTGACGAAAAACATTTTAAACTCCTAAGTACAGTATCGATATTTTTGCATAAAGCCTACTCCGGCGTTCTGTTAATAAAAAGTACAAAATTCAGATGGCTGCGTAATTTTGGTTTACGATGACGTTGCTTTGAGCAACTCCTCATATATATTGCCCTATCAATAATTTTTTTATCTGTTGATAAGTTAGGTTAGGTTTAAAAGATAAATGGAAAAAGACGGGACAATAACCTAATCTAACTTATTGTAACCCAAAAATAAACATAATCTATGCCAAGGAAACAGTGGAGAAATATCAGGATAGCGTCGTCCATGCACTTTTAAATTAATCTGAGCAATAGCAATATAAACAATATATATCAAAAGGTCAGACGTGGACAGCAGACAGATCGCTACGTCACATTATTTACATATTCTATTTTAACATAATAATTAATAGTTGCACGTTTCAGTAATTTGATTATAACTGAAACTGTACCTGGTGAAAATAAGCAGAAAATTTAACGAGATTTTGCAGGTATTGTATGCATAACTTGGTAAAAACCTCGATTCCTCAATAGTTATTGACAAAATTTCTAAAAATAAATTGATCTCGCGTTTTGATTGAGATTACTATATAACTATAATAAATTTACAGATTTTTCAAGATCACAATTTTAATTAATATTGAGGTATGTGTTTAATTGTGCTCATTTTCATATCGGTGGTCTTTTGTCCACGAGCTAGGGGTCAGTACCACCAATACATTGTACCTATATATAATGGTCATTTAATTAATAACTATCATTTTCTATTATGTCATTGCGATACTGATTGACAAAACTATCTATCAAAATTAAATTTGACCATCCTTGACGAGAGTGAATTATCAAGAGAATTATGGTCAATCGATATGTAATCAGTTATTGCCTATTATGTCAGTGGTCTTTTATCAGTACTGCCATAGTTTGCGTACCAGGTTAGAGTTGGGCCATAATTGTATTCTGATTTTCCTTATTTTAGTTCTATTACGAGTTCGGGGACTGTCTGTGTTAGCCAAGTGAATATACCCCCTTCTCATAGGCTTCCGTCCCTTCACACAACTTGATGTAAAGTAGGCGAACAAAATTAGTTATCTCCATATTGGTACACATACTTCTGGAGAGCCATTTCATCAGTGGTGTTTTCACACCTTTACTCTGAACTGACTACGTACGTGACAGCATAATATATTCATAATCGTTCTAACCACAAAGCCATCGCTTTCAGCTGAAGTTCCATGATTTGATTTATAAAAAAAAATTATTTGAGTTTATCAGTTGTGCATTTCCCAATTTATGGTTATTTAGTTCCTATTTAAACCGGTTTCTGTTATGTATAATTTCAGATACGGATCAGACCATTTTTATTTATTCTCGCATCAAATCAAGGCAAATTTGTGCATTTTCAAAGAATTTAGTAGATTTACATTGAGGTTGCAAGGGTGAGCAAGGTTTTTGGACCAGGGGTCAAAATGTCGTCCACCTAGACTGGCGAGCCGTGTAAGTGAGACGTCAGAAGTTACATTTTATGAACAATATTTACAATGTTACAAAAGCAAAATTGGGAAACAATAAGCCTCGTGTCAAACTAAATTCAATCGCAACAAATTCCCTGAGCTATTTCTTAGATAAAACATCGAAATTTAGTTTGGTTATGGCAGCATCAGGCGGGCCAGATTGATTTACCTAACGGGTCGGATATGGCCCGGGGCCGTAGTTTGCCGATGTCAGGGTTAGAGCGTTGAGACTAACTGTATTCAAAAATTTTCGCCCATCACCTCACTCACCCAGGATATAATATATAAGGCGAGCGATGCCGTAAAACTCTTCATAGAAAAAAGCCACAGGTCAAAATATTCAAAAACATTTGTTATAAATGTTTTCAGATCGCACGAAATAATTCTAACATGTTTAATAATATCAATCTATTCACGAGTCGATACTAATGGCATAGCGTGTTACCTACAGAAAGCATGTAGCTATCAATTTATGCAAACATACGCGAAAAAGGTACAATTCAAACGGATACACGAGTTCTTTATCACGTTATCACGTTTTAAATGCTTTTTATAAGGTTTCGACGATATACTTAGAATGGTAGAATCATCTATAATTTATAGTAAATGTGACGCACTTTTTGATAGTAAAATATAAATACTTAAATTCTACTTAAAATGAAAATAACTGAAAATGACGTCATAATATGGTAAAAAGATTCCAGGGCGAAATAAAAAAACTTCTAGGAAAGGTTTCGTCTAATAGAAGAAGACAGCGTTAATTTGAATTTTTTATTTAAATATCATTAAGCCTTTAATTAACGCTGATTTATATTCATGCTGCGTTACCTTGCTCTGGGCATTAGTAAGGTAATCACGGTAACGACAAGATGTCGTTGTCAGTTTCAATCAGTTTCGTATTGCCTGCGTTTAGGTTTGCGTTGAAGTACGCTGAAAAAATTTATGCCAGATTAGAGATACGTAAATGTTACAAAGTGTCCAACCGAGTTATAGGATTTCAACAAGAAGAGACAGATGGTCTATCTAATGCGACTACTATGTTTTCGGAAGGATCGGTTAAAAAAGAGGAATATGTGTGTAAGAAATAAGCATTGGTTTTCCTATTTTGCAAAGAGTGAAATTCGCAATGCATACATTTATTTAAGTGAAGGCGTAGCTAGCCGAAAATGGGAGGGGGGGGTATGACGAAACAGTTATTTTTTTGCAACCCTGAGAATATTGTTATTGATTTCATTTACCGTATATTCATTTAGTAAAATACTTCAAAATGAATTGAAATCGGAAATTTGTATTTTAGGTATCAGTAGCTTTATCCATCAGTCAACGAAGTGATATGTCATATATCGTGAATTGAATATTATGATACCGAATAAGGCTTATTATCATCAATCGTTGAGCATGGTTGTTAAAAAACTATCGGGGTGGACTCGACCCAGATCGTGGCATCTCCGACTTTGCACGTTTGCGGCAACTAGAAACTCACCCGCCAAGGCGATAGGGTAGTTCATCTAGGGCGATAGATAGTTCATCTATACATAGTTAACTCGACATTATGTTTTTGGGGTGGTAACGGATTCTAACTCCAAACTGAAAAAGTGAGGCCATTTATAATCGATTTCAAGCATTATAAAACGATGTATTTATAATTTATTTCATAAAAAGGGTGTTTCTAATCAAAAGACTAAACAGTGGTTACGGGTCGTGGCTCACTTAACCTTGGCTAACTATAGGTATCGATAATGTTAATATTTGTGATCGAAAGTTAGCCATACTCGAACCCGATATATCGGCCAAACATGAACAATAGAGTTTTGCGCAACTATTCATTTATATAAATAAATAATAACGAAAGCATTAAATCGTCATAATTGTTAACAAGCCGATTATCTAGTCAGGCCTCGAACCCGACCCCGTTCGTCTGTGACTCTGATCTCGATGGTGATCATGTACCGGTAATAGGGCATAGAAAGTGTTAAGAGCTTAATTACACGTATTGTAATGTTTTCACAGCTATCACAATTTCGGTAAGGAGAAAATGCCGATTTTCACCTTATGTAAATGACGCTTACCAATGCTCGGAATCGACTATTTTTCAAAGGAATTCCAACAGTTTTACTTGGGTAAACGTAGCTTGATTTGATCACAAGTTTGTTTTCTAATTGAGGGAGTTGTTTCTTTTACCTTTTCATCGCTCCGAAAGAGGCTGTGAATAATCAGTCACTGACGTGTAGGCAGCTACTATGTTTTTTAAACTGGCATTTGCCGGTTCGTCGTATCACGTTCAATGTATTACACTATCCCACAGTGGGTGAGGAGATGGCTACAGGATTCGAACCTTCAACCTACGACATAAACATGATGGCTCAAAGTGCCCGATTGCGTGAAAGCAAACAAAAAATTAACAAATAGTTTGTCAACAAATCTCAATTTTATTGGTTATTTCACCGGAAAAAACGCCCGCAGGTTCGATAAAATTGTAATTTTAAGATCGTATCGTCTTTCGAAGTATTGTAAATTGACGGCAAAAGAAATTTGGTACTTTAAGTCGTTCGCGGTGGTCGATATGTATGTTACAGACCACGGTAACGTTAAAGTCGTTCGTACTCACGGGTATTAGGTAAACTAGAACGATGTATTATGTCTCAAATAGATCATATGTAGCGTTTTATGTATACACTGATATTATTTTAATTGGAAATTTTCGTTTGATAAGAAAGTTAGTGTTTGAACATGTAGTTGATTAATCTCAGGGACGGCAATATCGCATTCTTCGCTTCGACTGGGTAGTAGAAAATTGAGTAGGTGGAAATTGACCATTTTTTTGTTTGGATGTTTGCTTGTGCATGGCTTTTCAAAGAGAAGAAGAAAAATGTCGAAATGGATATTGGCGTTTCCAATTGATGCTAAAACCGGAAAAACGTGAAATTTCGATCTTTGATAATTTTCGTTATTTTGTTTTCGGCAAACGAAGAAAACCAGCATATATGCAACTGGATGTTATCGCCATACTAAAAAGGTCTGCAGGAGGGCCTCCTAATTAAATTTTTTGTCAAAAAAATTTGAAAGAATTTTTTTTTGCAGCATTTAGGTCATGTATAACATTCAAATTTGCCTAATCATGACAATATATTTTTGTTTTCAGAAATTTGCTATCTTAAATAATCAATATTATAAAAAAAAATTATTCCTGATATTTAAAGGCTAATCACCGACCAACAAAAGTAAGAAAAACAATATGAAATTTGCTTATAAAGGTAAGTTTTGATATGATTGAATATTTTTGTGACATTTTGATCAAACTATCGAACAATTGTTATTCATTTGCACGCTAAGTATGTTTATTGTAATGTGATATTTGTAAATGTAAGTGAAAGTGTAATAATAGAAATTCAACATTGTAAAAGGCGATTCGTGAAATGGCATTTCTACTAATAAAAACGTGTATTACCTTTGTTCCCGTAGTGATTAAAGCTTTGTTTAACGAAAGAAAGCACATGTGACAAATGTGAGGTCAAAACTGGCAACATGATTTAGAATTGATTACATATAATTGAACTAGACTCGAACCCGTGGAGTAGCGTTTTAGAAGATGTTTTTGTACTTGACGAAGATTGCTCGTCTCATTTTCCATATTCGTTTACTTTCGATATTCCCATTACTGATTACCTCGGCGGTGAAATTGAACAATTATTCCATTGTCCAGATTGCTGACGTCATGTTTTTAATGCACGAGTGATCGGTCCATTTCTTCCTGATGCGTCTTTTCAATAGGTCACGAAGGGCTATATAGCCAATAGTGTGAAAAAATCCTTTCAAACTTTGTGAACATTACTTGTTAATATCGACGTTGCATATTCGTAAATTTCAAAACCGAAAAGTTGGAACTATAAAAAAGAGCCCCCAATTTCTATAACTTATTGAGTAGAAATGTAATATCATTAATTTCTAAAACAATTTCAGATTTTATAACAAAAATAAATCACAGGAAATGACATTTCAAACAGTTTTAGTTTTCTTAATATATTTTAAAGTTTATTTAAAAAGTTATGAAATAATAGAAATGTGTTAGCGGATGTCTATATTGAAAATCGTGATAATATTAACTTCCAAAAATAAAATTATGACGTCATAAAGGGCTCGACTTCTAAATTGGAAACAAAAGAAACAAATATAAACTTGTGTCAACCAATTATATATATACGGTGTAATTTATGATAGAAATGAATGCATTTAACCTTATTTTTGTAATCGAATATGCTCGGTAAATGGATAAATCCGTTCTGAGTTCTAGTTATATCCCTTGCCAATCTTGATATGTGTTAGTTTATTTCTATTACAATTTATAATCTCACCTTTTAATAAATTTAAATTTAATCGCAGGTTGTCTGGACTTAATTATACCACAAATGGTAGCTTAAATTTACACCTTCCCGGAATTCGGATACCATAATTTCTGATTTGGTAATGGGTAGAACCGCATAATAAGGTAATTAGAGAATCAAAAGTGTGAAAACAAAGGATATTTAACCATCAAGATGATATCTCAATTTCTTAATATCAATTACTTTAAATTCAAACACTGTTTTCACACTTATTTTAATAAAATCTGTACAACTTAATAATATTTATTTTTCATACACACGAAATTGTTCCAGTTATGATCCTAATAATTATTCCGCTGTTGTTCCGCGGATAGGCATCGTTTTGACAGTCTTAAAACTTGTCCATTGAATAACCTATCATGGCCTGATAAATGAATATTCTGATCTCTATCAAGAAACCGTAGAGAGAATAGAGGACATATAGTGAATAAATTTATGATTTGTGGTTTTGTCATCATTACATGATAATTCCAAAGTATTATTATTTTATCTCGCGATGTCGGACAATTTTGCCCAAATAGACCTGGTACCTTCCCATATACATCACATAAGCATATCTTTAGTGCTAAGGTAATGAGCTATCTTGAAAAATGAATAGGAGAAAGATTAATGCACGTATTGCGTGCAAATTTGGCACGAATGTTCGAAAGCGGAAACTTATTTATGATTAGAAAAGAATAATTATTGGAAGAGTGGACCTAATATATATCACCTCTATTTGCATGAAATATATTCCAAGAGTTAATTTAATTTAACTGTTAATTTACAACCATGCAACATGCACGGCGCTTTGCTAAAAATACAGTTAATACTCTATAGGTCTCTCATATTGAGGCAAGTACGCGCAATTTTTGCGAAAATGTTCCGCGTCAAATCGAGTATATTGATAATGGAATATTTAGTACGTGCTGTGATGTCACAATAATTATTGATAAACGTCATACTTAATTATTTTCTACGTCACCTCATTGATATTTCTCAAAAAATATTGCGATATTCGGAAAACACACTATTCGGATATGGAAATATGATTGTACCTAATTATCAATTCGAGTTAAATTAGTCGTTTGGGATTTCTATTATTCCAAACGTTTATTAACTTCCGAACATCTTAGAAATTTCATGCATACTTAACTGTATCATTGAAATAGGATATTGGAAAAATCATTGGTGTTGTGTATTTCAATTTAGTTTAATTTTCATGGCTTATATAGCCCAATATACTATTGATATACTTTTTTGTTATTTTGCATTATTTTCATACAGAAATGCTGTTTTTAATCATTGCTGCTACAATATTACTGGCAAGAGCTGGAAATGTACACGATATCCAGAAGTAAGTGCAAAATAAGGCGTTTATGAATTTTTCGTTATTTTAACTTTTTAAAGTGACGGTTCCCAATGTTGCCGGTACTGGCATTTGAGTTAATATACAACTTTGCTCTTATGGAAGAGTTACATATTTTGTAGTAGTTAAGGATACCGTTACCCTTTGCGAAAAATAATTACAAAAGTACTATTATATATGGGTAATTCCAAATAACGGCATGCAAAACGGCTGTGGTTTGTCGTAGGCTACCTTTTTACTGGTGGGCCCCTCTTCAGAAAGTTCACAAGAAGGGGGCATGCCGTTTGCTTAATCTTTGAATTAGCGTTACGAGAACACATGCAAATGGTTATTCTAGCCCTAACTTCTAATGAATCGTAAAGTCGGAACTATCGGATAAACCAAATTGCTATACAACACTCGCGTATAAATAACTAAGGCTATCATGAAACATTCATTCATTCAATTTCTACTTCTAGACGCGCCACAAAAGCTGAAGAAGAGCAAGCTCGCGTACAAACATATCAACTGCGTTTACAAAACACAATCGCAGCAAAATATAACAAGAGTGAACTCACAAAGATGAGATCAGATCCTCTTCAATGTTATTCATGTCAAGATGCAAAGACGAACGAAGAATGCAATGCTGGAGGAATGGTGACTTGTCTTCCAACACAAACTTCTTGTCAAACTGAGATCAGAATATTTAATCCAACTGATAGCGTCAGTGTCAGAATAAAGAAGGTGAGCCTATTCAGCTTACATCGGCCATATTATTCATTGCGCAAGCAATCGAAAAACTTTACCGGCACTTCGAGTCTGAAAGTTAAGCTGGGTATCAGCGTCAATTTTAATTACTCTGAATATATGAAAAGGCGTGGCCGATTTAATGTACAAGAGTACCGTACCTAAATGTGGGAATATTCATATAGCACAGAAATGAATAAGGTATTCAGTAATTACACGACTAATATAACTAAAACATGGCTGAAACAGCTACTGGTGTCCTGCCATTTCAGGGTACGTGGCACGGCGCTTAGTAAAATAGCGTGGCAGCAAATTTCCAATGCATGACAAAACAACCTTGCCGTCACAGCACTGATTTTATTATGATTCAGATATTTATTTCGTCATGCAATAATCAATATGAGGCAAAAGAAAAACACAGTAAATTGAAAAAACGAAAAACATTGATTCATTGCAATTGACGCGGGGTCGCGAATAGACTCAATGAGTCATCTAGTCAGCGACACCTTGGTGCTGTATTAAAGCAGCAAATATAGCAATGAAGCATATTGAATGAATATTTTCCTAGGTTGATATTTAATTCAATCTTGAATAATGGTTCTTAACTGCAGCGAACACATTGGATATTTGCCAACCGTGTTAATTCATAGTCCTTGTGTATGGTGATTTGCCCCTTGACTGGCCGACAAGACTGAAACCTAACCCTTATCTTCTAATCTAATCATGTATTAATTTCAGGGCTGCAAGCAAGATCGCGCTTGTCACAACAACTTCTTACAAAACGACCGTAAAGCTTGGCCTTCAACACAGTGTAAGACGATACCAAGAACTTCTTTATCAGTATGTAGATACTGCTGCACCGACCCTGGATGTAACAAAGCATTGCCTGGTAAGATTATATCTATACCGTTGCATCGTTCATTCATTTATGTGTTACAAAGCCAGGCAAAATGGCGATAGGATAAGTTTGTCATATTTATTTAACCCGGTAAAGGGAAAAGAAACTTTCTGACATTACCGCAGTCTATTGAACAATCGTGTCTATATATATATTTAGGCATATATATTCAGTAAATTTTTTTTTGTGAGGATAATTCAAAAAGATTGTATCAAAACAAGGCAGAAGACCTGTCACTTTTGCAAAAATTACAACGTTTTCGTAAATTTTATTTGATATGACAAACAATAAAGCTCTTAATTCTAGCTGAGCATGTAGAAAATTATATAAATATTTTTCTCGGACAATCAAAGAAAAACACTAGATAATATCTTCCTTGTTACGTCATAGGGCAAGTATAGCGATCACGTTCTCTGTGGTCAATGTTTATATTTACGAACTATGGAATTTTGAGTAAACTCGATTTTCAACACATTGTTCAAAATTGGAAGTTCTTTGGAATAAGGCAGTTATTGTATATATATGCTACTGTAGGCTATCTAGTAAAATACCAGCACATAGTTACTGAAAAATGTTACAGACGTTTTTGGTATATGTCAATAGTGCGCGCGTGGGCGAGATTATAAGATTATTTTGGCCAGTTTGATGCACAATCTCGAGCGATTTTTCAGTTAATTTTCCTGTTGCCAGGAGCCCGGTGGTCAATTTCCTACTTGCACTTTTTTGTATAAATCGTCATACTTCATTTTACATTTTGCCAGTGGTCAAATTGTGTGGGAATGCGTAAATAATAACAAATAGTCACTAGGATGATTCGATAATTCCAAGTTCGTTATCGACGACAAACAACATGACGTGACCGCAATCCCGTCAATAAGTTAACATGGAAGTGTGCGGATAAATCTCAAAAGTATTCAAATATATTGTAAAGTAACCAACGCCTTGAAGCCTCAGCCTCAAGAAGAAATTCTGACTATTTGAAGCCTTGATTTCCAATATTGCAATTTTTATATAACCATACGTTGTTGAAGAATTACGTGTCGATTTTTAATAAATTTGGTTGTTTAATCAACTTTAATCAACATTTTTGCCATACAACCGAATATTTCCTGACTTGGGCGTAAAATATGGCGAGAGCTTTCCCTAATTTTACTAAGATTTATGACGTTAGTTGTAAAACAATCTTTCAAAACAAGTAAACAGGAATAATTCTTGCTCATTTCCCATTTGTTGGCCAGTCGACGTCGACTGAAAATTAATTGAAAAATCCAAATTCATGCCACAAATATGTGTCACACTGTGTGTTACCTCACGGTAAAATGTATCCCGATAAGGTTGTGATCCATGATAACGGTATATATGATTATTTACTACCAGAAATCCAATCCAATCTTGATGCATTTACTGAGTAAATTTATTTTGATTAGATTTTCGGTTGCTAAATTTACAGGTCTGTTTTCAAAATAGCTCACACGATTATGCCAAATATTCTTCCCGACTGATTTACGGTCTGCCAGGAGATAATTCTAATTATTGTGGCGTATTGTCAAGCAAATAGATTTACCTTCGCATGGATGTTGGCACTTTGTAATGTGAATGGTAATACTGAAAAATGAAACACGCTCTTTAACTCCAATTAAAGTGTCCCATTATCCCTGAAAGTAGAGTACAATAATTTTTTGCGACATAATAATATCTTCTGCTATGCGTTAGCAAAAATCAGCAAATGAATTAGGAAAGATTTGCGTGTGTACTTTTAAATTCGAGCTTATTGCATCTTTTACATCATTCTTTTTAGCAATTTTGATTGTTTTATATTTCCAAATCCCCAAATCCATATTTGATATACTGTAAATATATGAGTTAAATTATTCCTATTACTAGGACCCAGTACGTTCACGAAAAATATGAAAGCCAATCTTTTCATGAGCGATATAATAAATTATCTGATAGAATCTATAATATTGTCTCGTTAGTTCGACGTTCTGCATTTAGAATAGTTCACCTGTTATAATAATCTGTCGTAGTATTTATTTATTTATGTAACACCTTTAAATGGTAAGGTCTGATGCACTTATTTTGAACATACTCGGAAGAAGAGCATTATAATAATTATGTCTTACATTAGAATTTGTCAACGTTATGCTTTGAATACCCAAAGACCAAGCATGAACAGTAATTAAATCACGATCTTTCTCTTCTACCTATACTTACTTCTGATTTGAATAGAAGTTAAAGTTACTGGAAAATGTAAATAAAATTATCTGATCTTTTCTAAAGTGTCATAGAATATACTTTAATGCTAAGTGGTAAAACTTATTTATTAAATTTGGTATAGACATGTACTTTTCTTTGAAAATTATAATTTATAAATTTTGGGAAGTTAATTGAAATAATTTCTGGCAACTATATTAGTCATTTCTTAATTTGGTAAAATCAGAAATTAACAAGTTTTCAAATATATTCTAGCTCATGTATGCGGACCGATATCTCCTCCCGAGAATGGGCACGTGTCTTGTTCAACTTCAAAAGTTCAATCTTCAGTTTGTACTTTCACGTGTGATCCGTGTCATAACCTGGTTGGATCCAGAGTTCGAATGTGCTTAGAAGACTCTGCATGGTCAGGAACGGAAACGAAATGTGTATATGGTGAGTGTTGTGTTTCAATTTCAACTTTTTAGTGAATAATTTCAGTTATTCGGAATTCATTTTGATCACATTCATTATGACTACTTCAAGTTTGTCGTTAATGATCTATATTTACCTTGAAGCAGAGCTTGATTCTGTATGACTTTAGTATTTCAGTAGTAAGACTCCAAAACTGACTTTGAAAAAATTATTTTTTGAATATAAAACATATTTAATCTTGAATACATCTTTCTGATATAAAGATGATAATAAGGTGTTAACATTAAAGAAACGATCTCAAATGACCATTTCTGCAGCCAAAATTGTAAAACTGGGATTTTAATACAGTAATTGTCATTTTCTGGAATTCACAGAGAAATGCATAGAAATACAAAGAACAAAATTACAAATTACTTGAAAATATCGTACAAAACCACAACACCTTTCTAGATTTGCGCATTTTGCTTATAAGCGGGTATGATAAAATACAAATTGAAACATAATGCCAAATTATAGGTTCTGTTATTCGCGATTCAGATAATCATCTCAGTATGTCTTTCATGAACTCTTGTAGAGATCCGAGAAACGATAAATACAAAATTGATGCAAACTATTCGTCTGACGTTATAGACACACAATATGATATCTGTTTGTGAATACGTTGCATTGATTTTGAAATCAATTTAATTTTCTAGAAATTGCATTTTATTTTTACGTCATTATCCGACAAGAAAAAACAAATATCCGGTTCAATGCATGTATTTTCTGGGTGGTCACTCACAGGCTCCAAGCTGGCGACTCAAGATCAAATATTATTTTTGTATTTGGGTGCAAATCCCCATTTATTTCTAGAAAAAAGCGGGTTTCAATTTTGAGCTGATTTTGCCGAAATTTTGAAACTTCCGAATTATCGATTTAACTCAAATATTGAGCCTTGTACAGCGCGATTACGTTTAGCTGGATTATAGGGACAGTTACTCGGTTTTATCCAACTAATAGTACCCGAAGAAGTTTAGGAATGTTCTTTTCTCTTCTTATGGCTATGGTGTTTAGGGTTAGGCAAAATTCATAATATGGTACTACTTTATTATTGCGAAACCATAACTTTTTCATCTGTTTATTTTTTATTTAATATTGTGCATTCAAGGTTAGGTTATTATACCGCTTTCTATCTTATCCTTACCAAAGATACACAGATTCAAAGAAAACATTAGAAAATTGATAGTAGAGGTATTACCTAGAACAAAATTTCCTGATCTATATAGAAAATAAATGTAGGCACCGAGTGAGAAGTTACATTACAGTATATAAAATCAAAAAAAAAAAAAATTTTACAGTCTGTACGAACCAAGATGACAGAGTCGCGTAAAAGTATCACCATTATCACATTCTTTTGTCGAAGATATCGCGACTCGGATTTCAATATGCTTGTCGCTGTCTGCGCTGACGTATCAAATCTTCGTAACTTAATATCGAGCATAACCTAATACTGTTATTTATTCAATATGGATAATCGTGATCCTATTTATAAAGGTTTTACTAAAGTAGGATTTAAGCCTGCTTGAACTAAAGAGATCGAAAGAAAAATAAGTAATTACAGCTAAAATTTCCTGTATTACCGTGATGATGGGCAATTGCATTGAATCGTTAAAATTTTATCATTACTTGAATTAGAACAAAAAAAAAATTGAGTTTTTTGTCTATGTGACTTGTTTTTCAAACATATTAATGATTTCATACCGTGATATCATAATAAAAAGTCTAAAACATGGAAATGAGACGAAATAATAATCCCTTTTAGACAAAATCAAGTTAACACTACAAGGGTAACTAAACAAACACGTTTCTTTTGCATCAAAATAACCAAAATTTCCATTTTCCCATCTTCTTCAGATAACTCGCTTCCTGGTTGCGCGGTGGGTACAACATGTCCAGCAAAATCTATCTTGTCTCCGGACAATGGAAACGTTGAATGTTCGAACTCTAACAAATTTGGATCTGAATGTCGATTCATATGTGATAGAGGATACATGATTAACGGAAAACGTGTTTTAAGATGCAATGAGAATACAAGAGATTGGGACGCAGTGAGACCCATCTGTGTTAGAGGTGAGACACGCCTTTTTTGTGAATGATTCCCTATCGTGAACTTGATAGATGACCAAATATCGATTATCAACTTTATTGGACGCGGATTGATTTGCTCAATGTTGTTGTTGGGCTGGTTGTTGTTATTGTTGTAGAAATTCGCTCTTCTCGTCAATTGTTGGAACAATTTTGAACTTTTAGTACCAGAAAATACATTTTTCTCAGTTGAGCCCGATGTTTCACTCTAAATTATGTTGTTTTTTATAATTCATGAAAACACTTTATATTTTAGCACTGCTCTCTTGTTTATTAAAATGCTAAATATTGTTTAATTCAAGGTGATGATACTTCCAATCCTTGCAACGTTTTCGCCGTTTTTGATTTCGCTTCCGATGGAAAACTTGAATGTGAATGCAGTACTGGATTTCGAGGTAAGTTTGAGCCTATATTGGCATCATCAATTTTTCTAATCCAAGTTTTCCCAGCTGAAAATCAACCTCGACAAATCTTATTCTGATTTCTATTTCTATCGTTAAAATTAACAGTTTTTTCAACTTGCGCACGGACAATGCGATATTTAGTCGACTCTACTTTAAATTTTAACGGTCGGGCTTAAGTCGACTTATGAGTTGAATAGAGCTGACAGTACTGGCATTACTGGCAGAGCTGGGATTCCCGATAAAACTGACATATTTGACATTGTGCCGGTAGATCTGGCGCATTACTGACATCTGGAACAAACACCATATATATATATCGCTCTCTATATTTTTCTTGCAATATTTCACTAATTGTTCAATACTTATCATTTTAGGTGATGGTTACATTTCCTGCGAAGACGTAAACGAATGTCAAGAAGGATCCCACGTTTGCGATTCAAACGCAATGTGCATCAATACATTGGGATCTTACAGGTAACTTCGTTTTTTTTCTTGAGAAAGTTTTCTCGAAAAAAAAAATCAGGCGCACTCACTCACGAGTATATTGTACTCGTCTATGAGCGAAGTTATGGCGAGCAATGAAGAACCTGGGAATAACTATATATATAGAATTACGGGGATACATGTCGCGTTAGTAGGTAGTGACTGACTCGAGATTTGAAATAGTTTAAGTCAATTTTATCAGGACAGAAATATAAATAATCGAAATTCATTGAAAAACACTTTTGTTGTAAAAGCTTTTTCGCTTGGTAGGTAGACTGGCAGTGAACGTGTGAGAGATCCAGCCCAGCCCGACATCTGAAAACGTTTCTGAAAGATTATTCATTCCGAATTTTTTTATAAATTATCATATATACTTTTCCAGATGCAAATGCAAAGTTGGTTACGTCGGAAACGGACGGGAATGCCGTGACATTAACGAGTGTACGTCATCAGCAAACGATTGTGACGTGGAAAATGGACTTTGCATTAACATCGATGGCGGATATACATGCACATGTAAGCCAGAATACACGGGAGATGGCGTGAATTGCTCAAGTACGTTAATATATTGATTAAATTCAATGTAACTCAAATATATATATTCTAAACTTGGGCTCGGCGGTTGGCACATAGTGCTAAGCTTTCGGAATACGCTTGCCATCGCACCTCTGATTAATCTGCGCGGGCTCGCAGGTTTGAATCCCGTGAGGGTAATTATAACACTGGCAAACGATTCTCATACCCGACATGGACTGGCAACCGGTTGAGAGTTCTTGATTTGACATATAGTTGAGCCGCCATATCGGCTTTGCTCTTCCCAGAGATGATTATGAAAATCCTATCCTAAAATATTGCAGACTAAGCGCATTGCTATATTACAGAAGTGAATCTGTCCTGTCCTGGAGGGCTAGTCGATGATCTTTGCTTACCCGATGAACCAGCACATGGCGAAGATCCGACAAAACCAGTTGAGTTAATGGAGGAAGAACCGCCTACTGATAAGCAACTCTTTTCTGATGGTTTCTCTTCTCTTGCTAAAGTTGATAGTTGCGTAAGATTGACTGAACATAGACCTTCGATGGTGCGAGATCCGAACACTTATGAAAACATGAACAAAAAATTACTGGTATGGAATTTAGTTCATTTTATTATTTTTTGTTTCACAACTAATTTTAAAACTGTCTAGTTTTTTACGGACTCGAAAGAAAGGGAATGTCTGCTTTTTTAAACTTTTGACACCACTATTTAGTTTCATAAAATTACTAGATTGGAACAGCACATGAAGGTTATAAAACATGATGATTCGATGCAATATAATTTATTTGCCAAAAATTGTTATTCGATCATTTCTTCTTACTCTGCACTATTTACATCTCGTGACTCGTATTAAAAGTTTTAAAATGGCTTTCGACGTAATTCTTAAAACCTATTTGCTACAGAAATTGACATAAGTAAAATATGGCTAAATTTCGTCCGAAATTACGGAGCATCCGAAGTTAGACGCATTGATTTAAGTTCAATAAGTTGTCGGTTTAAAAATCTCGTCCGAAGTTAGTATCTTTCACTCAAATTGCGCACTTTATATTTATTATTTTCTATTTTTACAGAATAAATTGATGTCATATTCCAACAGTAGTCGAATAGTATTCGGTCCATGGATAGGATTAGACGATAGAATTGAAAGCGGAGTACTGAGATGGAGAGACGGTAAACCGCTTGACCGAAAGGACTTTCAAGTGTGGGCTCCCGGTCAACCGAAACTATTAGAAGATGGAGGTAAAAAATATGATTACAAAATTCAGCTTTCGATCGCTTTGCATATTTGTTGTTATTGTTTTAGTTGCTAAAATCCGCTTTTTCAGCAAACTATAGACGAATTGATTTTAAATTATTTAAAGACGGAAGAGGTCGCCTGAAGGCTATTACTTTTTTTTAAATTTTTTATCCGGAAACTTCAATTTCGTGGTCCACGGATCCTGATATTTTCCCCAAAATTTTGCTATTTTATACCAATTCATATGAGCATTTCTTACTATAATCATGCCTTTTTCAGGTTTGGGAAATTGTGTGAACCTTATATCCGATCCTGTTTCCAGTCATACAACAAGCTTCTTATGGCAAGTCACGTTGTGCAGCAGTGCAACTCGATATGTATGTGACACTGAGCGAAGTGATGGTAAGATAATATTTTTTTCGTGTCTTGAGAATAAAGGGTGGAATAACATTAAAATTGAGTCAAGGAAGCTAATACAAGCAATATTTGAAATCTACAGCAATTCAAAGAAAAAAATAATGGTCCCTAAAAACGTTCCATTAATGTAGCTAATAATACAGAGCCTCAAAAAAATAAATTCTATATTTTACACAGAACCAATTGTTTCTCTCTGCATCCCTCTTGTGGATCCAACACACGGCAAAGTCTCCTGCTCAAATGGTTGGAGAATCAACTCAGTATGCTCGTATTCTTGCGACCCTGGTTATATTCTCCGAGGCCCGAGCAGTAGAATTACTTGCCAATCTAAAAATATGATGTGGGGATAACGAGCCGCCAGTGTGTGTCCGTGAGTAGACGTTTATTATTGAACACTAACTGTACATATGGATCGTTGGTATTGTGGGTCATGTGGCTACTTTTGTTGTACACAAAGTGCTTTTCTCTTTAACCAAAGGACCAATCGATTTGAAACAAAAGCTTCAAGAACTAGACATTTCACCACAAGTTTCGCTAGTTTTGCGCATATTGCGCAATCTTTTTGGCGAACCTGATTTACATGTATGACCTTACCGATTCTCTTGAATTGTTACGGTTGTGGCACTTGATTTATGATTTTGATTTGAAGTTTTTGAATATCCAGATAATCGACTTCTATACATAAGCTACTTTTGTACTCCTATTTGCTATTTGACCTTCTTGCGCACATATTTGAGCATTACTCTCACCATTGAACTATGAACGCAATAAAATCAATCATCATAACGCATTTATCACTAGTTAAATAAACAAAATCGGTTCTACATATATTAATATATATATTATTCTCATATACAGGTGCTATTTGCGACCGACCATTGATGCCTCCTAATTCTGGACGAATGGAATGTACAGATGAAAACAGAGAATTCTCAGTTTGTAGATTCACATGTAAACCCGGTTATACGTTGCACGGTAATTCAACAGTGACTTGTCAAAGAAATTTGAAATGGAGTTCTCAGCGGCCCTGCTGCCGAGGTAAGCTCATCGGCGAATATTTGTCAAATATATTTCTAACAAGTTGTTTAGTGTGATGATTGATTATGATTAATTTTTATTTATATATATTGTGTTTTATATTTCAGATGATTGTCCACCATACGCAAGAATGAATTTAATTATGGTATTGGATAGTTCAAGGAGTATAAATGCGGAGAATTTTGAATTAATCAAAACATTTGCAAAAAAGAGTAAGTATAAAATTACTTTTGTTTCTTGCATTTGTCAGACTAAATTGAACGATAAACATGTATCGTTGCAGTATATGAGGATTTGGTCCGCAAGGTAACACGAGCTCAGTCAGAGATATCGAGAACTCACCCCGGGGGATATTCACAGTCGTCCATCGCTAAGCTATAAACTATATCTAACTCCACACGCCAAGGATGAAATAGCATTCCCCGACCTGTATTGATCACTTAATAGGGGGCATTATCCGTTAATTTCCCAAGCCATATTATCGGATTTTCCTTCTTCCCATTACCTGACCTAAATCTTAACTCTCTAAACACGTGATAAAGTTCATTGTTTTTGTGCGAGGGCTTACGGTAAAAAAGTCAATTACTAGGTTGTTCCATTCCTGGTCTGATTGTATTCATCCTTTTTTCAGCTCCACAGAAGATTTGAAGTTTCCGAAGATTTTACTCACGTATCAGTCATATCATACAGCAGCAGAGTTGAATTACTGAACAACAAAACTGTTTTTAAATCAAGCGATGAACTCGATTCAGCTTTAGATAATCTTGCGTACGAGGGAGCCGGAACTCTGATAGGTAAGTTTAATTTGTGATTTTGCATTGAGAGCAAAGTGGCAGTGTTAGTTAGAAGTCCCTAAACCAGCACCGAGCCCCGAGTCAAGCCACGGGGAATCCGAGTCAGTTTAGAGTCGAGTTACACACTTTGTGATTGACTCGACTTGAGACTTCGATGACTCGTCACTCGATTTGACTCTCGACTCGAAGTTTAGAAACCTGTACCCAACAGCTCGTCACCGCAATGTCATCAAAATTTCAACAAATTTTTAAATTGTACCGAATGTCATATGTGAAGTTAAAAGAGTTGTAGCGAATGTCATATGCAGGTGTGCATATTAATTAATAAATATTCATTAATTTAAAAATAACCGTCATATCTGATGAAGAATATCGCGCCTGATTCAAAAAAATGTTAAAAAGGATAAAATACATAGCCTTCTAAAATCTTCTTTTACTCACAAATACTGAAATAAAAAAACAATTCACAGCTTCATTTCGTGCCCAAAAACTACAGCAATCCAGACAATATTTTTGTTTCTACAGGTAGAGCAATAACCTACGTCACAGACAACTTGGCAGGCAAAAGACCAGGCAGTGGAGATATTGTTGTCGTACTCACAGATGGTATTTCACATGATGACGTTTATTTTCCTTGTAAGTCTTGTTTTTTTTTTATACTTTGTTAATGCATGGGTTCGTAGGTTCGAACAACGTGCGAGGTTAGTTATGTGCCAGAGGATTTCTGGATCCTCGCCGCCGTAGGGTGGTTCACGTAACCGCTGGTCGGTTACGGCAAAGCTTCCTTTCCATCAATGCTTCCGAAAACAAATGATTGGCTAACAAATCCCATACCTGACATGGACTGGTAACCGGACAAGAGGCCATAGTTCGCTATAAGTTATGACTGAGCCGCCCTATTGGCTTTTCTATCCCCGGGATAAATATGTAAATACTGTCCCATAAGCCAAATTTCATTAGATCCAATAAAAGAGCAAAAGTTGGTTATGGCTGTCTGTACAAATCGTTGCTTGGAGTGTAGTATCGGCGCTTGAAAACAATAATTAGTTGTGTCTCCGTCGTAAGCGAATATTAAGTTTTAGCTCAACAGGTATACTCGTGGTAACAATTTCTAAATTTTATTTTCATTACTTTTATTTCAGCTAAAACTCTCCAAGAGACAGGAGCTCATATCATAGCTGTTGGTGTTCGACATGCATGGAGATACCAATTACAAATGATTGCGTCAGAGCCTACTGACGTCAACGTCGTTGAAGTTGAAACATATAATGACCTAAATCATATTGTTAACGTAATAGGCGAAAAAGTTTGCCATTTATCATGCTGATTATCATATTTTAGTAAGTTTGCGATAACTTCATAAAATTCAAGACAGATTAGACTTACCTCCTTTCTATTATCCTAGCGAGAACGTAAATTCCAGCGCCAAAAGGTATTGTGACGTAATATTTCCATTTTTGATGTTACATTTTTGGATTAAAAACTCGTTTTGTCACGCTGGACTGCGAAACACCAATAATCTAAGTACAATACGTACTTAATTTTACAGGAGCTCTGTTACCAGCATTTTGACGGTCATATCTGAGAAATTGGTGGACTTATTTCAGAAAATGTAAATTTTACTAAAATGCCCAAAACTGAAAAGTGGCAAATGCATAATGACAAATTTGAAAATTAGGAAATGCTTACACTTTTATCCCTTATTTGCAACGTATCAAAATGAACTGTTCCAAGCTTTACGAAAATTATTGTAATATTCTTTTAATTTTCTTGTAAAAAGTTATATTTCTATACTTCTTTTATATTTTATATAATTTATTTCGAACATTCCCATTTTATCAGTACATTACTGACATTGTGTATACTGCCGCCATTATTTTTCTTATTTCAAAGACATTCTCGCTTACGCCCAAAATATCGCCATTAACCTTGGCTGAGAAATGCTGGCGCTCCAGTAGTGTGTGTACCAATATGGAGGTAACTAATTTTCTTTGCAAACTTTACATCAAGTTGTGTAAACTTGAAACCTATGGACAGGGGGTATATTCACTTGGCTAACACAAAAAGTCCCCGAACTCGTAATAGAACTAAAATACGCAAAATCAGAATACAATTATGGCCTAACCCTAATCTGGTACACACACTACGAAGTACCGAAATATTTGCTGTTTTTACTTTAGATCTATTTTCCCCTTTATGAGGATTATTTGCCATTGGTTCAAGTAATATGGTCGATTTTTCAAATTTTACTTTTATTGAAATCATATTTTTTCGCCTCAAACAAGCACCGTATTGTTTCTTTCTCGTTTTTAATACAATAAAAATCTTCCGATACATTTTGTTTTACTCACAAGAAAAAAAAACGAGAATATCGGTCAGAGACCGAGGACTTATCGATCGAAGGTTAGGGTATCCCCCAAAACAGCGCTATTACTTCATAGTGACACCTTGTGTCCCATCACTAATTAATTAATAACTCGCTAATTATACGACATATTTCATCCAAAATCAATAGACTTCTGGTACGAGATATGATGAATGCACATGTGAAATCTGGAGCAGATTCAATTTCGCTTTCGTGAGATATCGCGTGCATCTAACAGACAGACAAATACCTATCAACATACTTACCGATTAAAATCGATAAAAAATGAATACAAATATATGAGAAAGTTTGCGTGCATGGCCAACCGTTTGCAGTTATAGTAGAGGCGCGGAAATTATATACAGTGTTGGGCAAAGGTTTTTAAATCCCGTCGAGAGCCAAGTCAAGCTACGTCATCAGAGTCAAAGATTATAGACTATAGTGGCTGAAGGCCAGGCTTGTGGAAGATCCGATTCTGCTATAGAATTAATGAATAGCAATGGAATTCCCGTTACAAACGCATTCCAGTTTAGAATTGGCATTTTCACCATTAGTGCTACCGAAACATCTACGTATTTTGTATTATGAAAATTTGTATTGAAACTGTTTTGTATGTATTTTGTATCAATTGTATTGAGTTATTTTTATCTCTATGGAGTTACGTTAGCAGGGTTTCTTGCATTTACGTCATTTCCTTTTATTTTAGCTTTCACTGAAATTTCCCGCAAATATCGAATCATTTGTTTGAAAACTGTTTTTGTACTGATCAAAAAAAATGGAATCTAGACAAGAAAAAGGCATTAGCAAAGTCTCATGTGGTGCTAATGTACAGTTTTGTACGTTCAAATATGTCCAGAAGTTTATTTTGAATTTTGCAACTGTAGAATTTTCCAAATATAGAAAATGGATGCTCCTTCAAGATAAAATTACATTAGATGTTAGAACATTTTACTGCTCATTTTTAACAGTATGCTACTACTTTATACGTGTCTGACATACGCAGGTACTATATAGTTGGAAGTTTTTTCTCACAGATAGTCGATGCAGCAGATCAGGGGCAGAGTAAATCAGAACACTTTTTGCGTTCGCTGAAGTAATAACTCAATTAGTATGAGCTTAACGAAGTTGATTTGAAAATAGTTTGTTGATATGTAAGAAAATGTTTTCACAGAGGCCGCCACTGCTTTAAATCGCCAACATGATAAATATTTATTTTATTTTAAAATCTTTAAAAATTATCTGTAGCTATGGTGTTAGCTACGATGATGGTAGTGTGTGTTGTTACCTACAGATTCAAGTTTTGTATTTCAAATTTTATTCAATAAGCTAGCAATTCCTAAAATATTTTTGTTAAAATTACCTTATCCTGCAAGGTCTTTGTATATTCGTTGTAAAACTCATGTCGAACGAGTTGACAAGAAGTTGGTGTCTCAACCATAACCCCGGAATCTAAAAAATATACTCCAGATTTGACTCGTCAGCCTTACCGGATTCCAAACGATCAAAATCGACTTGACTTGATAATATTGTAATTGACTACGAAAAGGTTGGCACATACATACATAATTTTTGCCCCTAGTTCTGTGAAATATCTAAAACAACCATCTGATTTAAAATATTTTTTTGTTCATATCTAGAATATTAACAAGTTACATTTAAACCGATCAAAAATGAATTCATCAGAAAACATTACAAGTTCCAATGGAACTGGTATTTATGAATTATTTATGAAAGAGTGTTACTTTGACGATGATGTTGATGAAATATATCGACAACGGTTGGCGTCGATTGTCTTGACTTCAATTCTGCTCCCGATCAACACTTACTTATTGGTTGTCACATCTTATTACGAGTATCACGTGCAAAAGGAAAATCGAGTAATTTTGAAAAGAGCGAAGGAAAAGGGTCGTATGGATGAGATTAGAATGAATATAAAAGACGACTTGATGAGAGCTTTTATAATTTTTATTGAATGCACTAATTTTGTTGCATTGAGTCTCAGTATATTGTATTTGTATCATTCTCATGCGTTATGGTCGACCCCTAATTTGGTTTCCACTGGGGTCAACGTAATCCTTCTTGACTTCATACCAATTCTCCGCCAGTACTCCATTCTTAACTCACCCCATGTTTCTTCAATCCCAGGCAAGCGTAGAAGATTTTTCAACAATAAGTACGTTCAAATAATAGTAATGATTATCAACAGCATGCTGTATTTTCAAATAACAATGTTTTTTTATACTGGTCAACTTACATGTTTACTCGTTACTCCATCGTTGTGGAATATTCTGGCAATAACAATATTGTTCTCCATTCGAATTTCTACACAAATTATAGTTGTTAGCTCGACTATTAATACGTTGAAAAAATATAGAAATAAACCAAACCATGGCGAGGAAAGCTTTCTAGTTATGCTGAATCTTATTAGACGATTAAGTATCACAACTGAAGTGAAAGTATGTTTTGAAATTATTTGTATGATTCCATTGATAGCTTTGACATGTTTCCCTGTGATGACTCTGTTTTGTTTTATTATATTTCAATTATTAAATTCCATTTCATGTATTTGTTACTTATTTACGTTTGATGAATGGAAACTTCGCTTATTCCCGTATATCCGTCAAGTAAACTTGATCAATGCTTCTGTTATTCAGCTACCCGATACAAGTAGGAAATGGTATTTGCCATAACCGATCAGGGATAAATCATAGTTGAAAGCGTTCGTAAACATTGATTGCGATACCGAAATTATACTTCAAAAAATCCCGAAAATTTACTATAATTCAAAAGTATATGTATCGACTTCAGGTTGGCTGAGGTTGGTAAAACTACAGCGATCGCCGAAGTTGCCAAGATGACGCGATCCGGTCTTTTACTTTACATATAAATACAAATAAAATGGCGAAATTTATCATTTTAACATTAAATGGTATTTGTAATAATATTTGTTTTACTTTTCCACTGTTCGAAATACACAATTTCGTTGCCAAACCAATTAAATTTGTGAAGTATATTAGGCGCAAAATGGCGACGAGACAAAGTAATAGATTTGGTGTAGTGCATTATTGAAACATTGTATTAGATTTTCTTACTACCGTATTACCGACATATATAGGTGTATGACACATTGAAAGAAATAATACAATCTGCGAGTCCTCACCGTAAAACATTTATTTATGGTATTCTTCATATGTATATTAATATATTATTTAAATATACACATTAATTCTTTACTTTGCTATTTTATCAATCAAAAATCTATTTACGACTAAAACACGGCTCGGCAAACATGAAAATAAATCGCTGTAACGTTATCGACTTGAAAATTAGGAAAAATTTCATAGTTTTTAAACCATTCTGTATAAGATATGCGAATCGCAAAAATTCCGTTTTACGTAAAAGTCTCCCAACCCCCATCTGAAAATTTTGCTGTGCCGAGCCTTGTTCTGGCCTGTCGTGTGCAACACATTTATATTACATGTTTGAATTATATTTTATTATTGTTACATTTTTTATTTTACTCAATAAAATTATTTGGAAATAAATTAGCAAAAAGCATTGATTACAATAAATCTGTCAGAGTTGTTGGGAAATTATAACATCTTTCAGTTGAAAAATATATCTTATACTGTTACATGTGCTTTGGATGAGAGAACAACTTTGCGTAATAGCACGACCCCGAAAGACTTGATTGAAATTTGTAATTAAGGCATAAGTGGATTTTGTAAAACGTGGGATATTGGCTCAGATTCAACTACGTATGTTGCATTATACAATTGTGAGAGAAAGTTAAATCAATATACAGACTTTCTGTGGCTCCTTCGTAGGTATCAAACAGCTCTAAACGTCTCTCTTGGCCTTGATTCGAGGAAGATATTTGGAACTCCAGAAATATGTGCACCAAGATGGCGCACAACCTGAACATAGTATGTGTAACCGGTTAGGGTTAAGGTTGTGCGTCATCTTGGTGCACATACTTCGGGAGCGCCTGATATTTTAGTGATTACTTAGTGTCAGATATCGTTAAAACTGCAGTAATCGTCGCAATTGCGTGATGAAAGTAGGACGTGGTATTTAACATAACCGATCAAGAATAAATCATGAGGAAAAGTGTGTGTAAACATTGATGGTATTCCCAAAATTATACTTTAAATTTAAAAAATCCTGAAAATATACTAGAATTTAAGAGTATATAAATCGACTTCAGGATTGCGGAGGTTGGTGAAACCGTACTATCGAAGTATGTGAACCAAGGACGCCGGAATGTAGATATGTACCGGGTTAGGGTTAGGGCATAATTTTATTCCAATTTTCCCTATTTTAGTTCTATTACGAGTTCGGGAACTAGCCAAGTGACCCCAGTAGTATTTTTACCTGAAATTATGGCCTAACCCTTGGTACACATACTACGTTCCGGTGTCCGCCATATTGGTTCACATACTTCGGGAGTACCGGTGAAACTGCAGTCGAAGTTGTCTAGAATCCTAGATAAGTGGATCCCAATCTTTCTACCCTAGAGGACTGGTAAAATTATATAAAATGTACTCGCGGTCAGGCAAAAAAATCTACATGGCGGACCAGTGAAATTATACAAAATGTACTCGCGGACCGGACCAAATCATGTACAAAACAATTAACTCCAGTGAGAATTTTGCTGCTGTTTCGTTTCCAATATAGGTTTGAAAACGAAGCTACAAAGAAATTTCTGCAACACGTAGCTCTGCAGCGGTGTCCATTGATTTCTTAGCTTCGTTTTAAATAAAGCTAATCACAAAAAAAAGTTTTTTGCATGAGTAACTGGGTGGAAATACGGACAACAGGTTGAATGCTCGATTACTCAGCGATGGGTATTCATTATCAAGATATATCCAGAATTGTGACAGTGATTCTTTGGTGCTCCCGAAGTATGCGAACCAAGATGGCGGACATCGGAACGTAACATGGGTAACAGGTTAGGGTTAGGCGATAATTTTTTCCCAATTTTCCTTATTTTAGTCCTATTATCAGTTCGAAGACTAGCCAAGAGTCTCCCGTAGTATTTATACCTAAAATTATGGCCTAACCCTAACCTAGTACACATATTACATTCCGATGTCCGCCATCTTGGTTCGCATACTTCGGGAGCACCGATTCTTTTTTAAATCTGGATTGTAAAGGAGAATCACAACTTTAATCAAGCTTTATTACTTTCATCGGGTTTATCGGGTTCATCATATTAGTCCCTCTGCAGTTGATCGACCGCCTCAAACAAAATTAATTTACATTAAAATGACCGTAGTCGGTAACTTGGCACCAGGCTCAAAATCCTGCTGTGCACCACCTGGACAATATCTCTGTTGCGCGTATCATTACCACCTGCAGGGTGGCCGAGATAAAAAAGGGAAAATGGAATTGCTTGGAACCAAGACCGGTCCGCGGACCAGCGGTTGATAACCACTCGCCTAGATGACTTTCTGCGCGAGATTGCAATATTCTGAAAATTCTACATTGTGGTTCGGTACACCCCGGGTACACCCTATCTTGTTAGACCCTGAGATGTAGGCTACTATACACCCGGTTTGCGAGCACTGGGATAGATACAATTTCTCCGCTTGACTACTATAGCAATAACACTCGGCGTTTTACCAGTCTTTTACAACATGCAACGTTCATGTGACCAACATTTTATACGTTTCCATCAGGTATTTTGGGCACAACATTAAATATATAAAAAAAAATTACGCACGAATAAAAAAGAATACAGGCATTACCGATAAGAATCGAACTAATATCAGTCAATCTACTTTAAATTAATAAATGAAGCCCAGTATTGGCATTTGCTTGTAATTCCCAGAGAACCGTTACGTACCGGTATCTTCACAAGAAACCGAGGCTTTGTACGAGTATTTGCCACTCAACTCTGTGGTGAAAATTGGGGGAACCCATGTGGTACCAAAAAAACATTTGGTAAAATTGGTTGGTAAAATATTTCCCAACAGCAGAATGCGGCTTCCATAGGATTTCTCCACCATCAAGTCTATGCTTCCGAAAACAAATACTTACTGATCCCATCCCGACAAGGAGTGGTAACCGGACGAGAGACCGTGGTTCGCCATATGGTTGAGCCGTCTTATCGACTTTCCTTTCCCCTGGGATAAATATGTAAATCCTACTCTATTCTATTCAAATCGTCCATGTATAATAATAGTTTTCCACTAACGGAAGCTTAGTGATTTCCCTCGTATTTGCTGATTGCTAAGTACGGTTGAATTTAATATTTTAAGTCTGTATTGAATGACACCTTTTCACAAAGACAAATATAAATCTCAGTGTGTCAGTAGTCGATTGCAATTGTCCTAACGATGCTTTTTCTACTACGCTGTTTAAGGCTGGTTTCGGCTACCATTAAATGAGTTATGAATAAAACAAAGCTGAGATCATCAGTACGAAACAGCGAGTGTACGATACGATAAATACGTAGGATAGTGTGGATGAGAACTGGCCCTCGTTTGGTAATCAAATGATCACACTTTTAACAATTCCTCGATCATTGCGGAAAGCAGATATATAATCCTCATCACATTTTCATCGGACGAATAAAATTTAAAAATATGTTTTTTTTTTGAAATATATAGGTCCCCTCCTTATTTTTAATTTCAAGTTTACTCACTCAGCTTGAAAAATAATGAACTGGGTTCATAATACACATTGCAGGGATTACAAATATTTTTTCCCATAATAAGTGATTTTCCGGCTAGATATTCCCTAAATTTTTGTGAACTTTTCCTAAGCTCATTTCCTCTTCCAAGAGACGCATATACATAACTGCATGACATAAGGTTCCATAGCTGAACATTACCCGACATTTACTGGTAACCGGAAGATAGGCCATGGTTTGCCATATCATAAGGCGGCTTATCGGCTTTCCTCTACCCGAAATAAATATGTGAATCTCTATTCTGAGATAACAAGACCTTATTCCGATATTTGTAATCCGCGACTTGTCGTTGGAGAGCCACAATAAAATGGTGATAGGAGTCCAAAATTTCTTATCCATTTTTATTATAATAACATGCCAAAATAAAAGATTCTTTTTACTTGAATAATATTCGTTTTTTAAATAGTCAAATTTATGTATCAATTGACTTGTGATTTTAAAGTAATTTTTTTTTCACGACTGCCATGTTTCCAATGTTTCGTTACCTTGCGAACTCATACCACAACAGTTACAACAAAATGAAAATCGCGTGTTCCGTATTGATGCATAAGCGATAGTCAGTGGCGATAGTAGTAGTGTTTTCGTATTCCGCCAGAAGGGCGTTTTGTTCCATTTTTTATTAGAATTGGAGGAAAATACTATTGTCAGTAGCTCATCACTGTTTGACCTGTCTGTATTGGCAAAATGCCACATACTATGGATATCGATGGACATTCGCCCAGGCCAGAAAATATTGGCATTGCAGCCGTTGAAATATATTTTCCATCGAGTTACGTCGACCAAGTAAAACTTGAGGAATATGACGAAGTTTCAGCTGGGAAGTATACAAAGGGTCTTGGACAATTACAAATGGGATTTTGCTCGGATAATGAAGATATCAATTCTTTGTGTTTGACTGTTCTTGCAAATTTAATGGAAAAACATGGAATATCTTACAGTGAAATTGGTAAATGAATTTTAAACTCGAATTTTCTTCAAAAAAAGATTTTCTGGAAGTTGTGCTTAAAATTATTTATTGTGAATTCAGGGCTTCAGTAAATGCAATTATGCCATATGCTGGTAGGCTACTGCCATTGCTAACTCAGGAAATCCAGAAATCATTTAACTGAGCATTAAGAACTCTATTGTCATCGCATATCTAAATGTTCAGATTCGCAGTTGCCTGCGCTATATTCTCTTGAATTTCAGATTGTTTAGTCTTTCAATCATTATTTCGAATTAGAAAATAGTTCACTTAATCTTAAATTACTTAAAAAATACAGTACATAGCTACTGGAAATGTCTTTGTTCTGACTGGTTTTCAAATTATTTTATTTCCCAACAATTTATAACAGTTTTGCATACCTCACCAGACTCGACAGGTTTTGAATAAAATATTCTAAATTATTTATTTATACTAAATAATAAGAATATATTAATTATGGCTAATTTTTGTATTTTAATATCCAAACATTTTAGGTCTGACATTTCTGTTAAATCTTAATTATTTTCGAAGGTCGTTTGGAAGTCGGAACAGAAACCATAATTGACAAATCGAAGAGTGTTAAAAGTGCTTTGATGCAGCTGTTTGAGGAATCAGGAAATTTTGATGTTGAAGGAATCGACACCACAAATGCTTGTTATGGAGGAACAAGCGCACTCTTTAATGCCATCCAGTGGATGGAAAGTTCTTCATGGGATGGTAAGTTAATTATTCAGTCAGTTTTGAAAATGGTTATTTTCAAAGAATTGAATATTCTAAGAATCATTGGTGGTGGTATCATAGCAGTGGTTTTCCACTTTTTGGTGGAGATCGGAGGGCAACCCCTTAATACTGAAACCTTTCAGTGGTTTGAAGAACCCCTTTATTACCCTCGTTTAATTAAATGTCTTTTATTGTCCGAATTGTATTAAATTATGAATACTGTATATAAAAGCCAACCTGATACTGGCGGAACAAAATTGTCTTTAGAAGTGTTGCAAGTTCAACAATATTGGCTAACCAAATGGGTATTTGATTATATTTGAATATAATCGTTTGTTAATTTAGAATATCGTACTATAATGGATACTCACGAATCCATGTACTGTGCTGGCGTAACACTGAGTTGCGGCAAAACATGGTTGAAAACCATGCTGTAGAGTAAAGTTTATCATCATATGTCACCTCAACGCAGCGGTTTTGTTTTTTTCTAGAATCATTTGTTCATTGTTGAAACGTAGCAGTGAACACATGAAGGTTGCAAAAATAAAGTTTTCAAATGGGCTACTGCACTCGCAACCTATTTTGTTTCAGCTTCATATCGAAAACTTGATTTCTATCTCAAGCTAGTACTATAGCTTGAGGATTATCGTTAAATTTATTCGACATATTGTGGTAGACTTGTGATATTGTAGCACCGAATAATATCTACCGGTAATTCTTTCAGGATTCAGGACATTAATCAGTTGTGAAATTGTGTTATGTACAAATTATAAATCTTATTTTTGTTCAGGGCGTTACGCAGTCGTAATATGTGGTGATATAGCAGTGTATAGTGAAGGAAATGCCCGATGCACAGGAGGTGCAGGTGCCATTGCAATGTTAATTGGACCGAATGCTCCATTGGTTTTTGAACCAGGTGAGTGTTTATTATATATTGCAGGAAAGGAAAAGGTTTTGTACTATTTAGTCTAATGTCTCCTACTAATTTATTATGCATTCTTGCATCTACAGTAATAACTGGTTGGCTTCACTCAATATGAATCGGTAACCAACCAAACAAGAGTCATGGTTAGGCTGTCTCATCGGCTTTCATTCCCCTCAGAAAGATTAATAAAATACTGGCAGTTTATTTCAGGCAAATCAACTTTGATCTGAGTTTTATTGTCCAAATTTAGTTATCAGTTTTAGCAAAATTGCATTATGGCGAATCATTTATTCTGATATTATAGTAACAGACACTTTCACTTTGTTCCATATTTAGATCACCATTGTATATTTTGCTCATTATTATTTGATACTTTTGCTTCAGTGAGTGTAATAATATCATGACAATTTAAAAAAAAGACTGGCAATCAGCAAATCTTTTGTGTCTGAAGGATTGTTGACATTTATTTCTGTGTTTGGTGATGATTTTAATTGGCAATTAAAATACAAACAATTTAACCAGATTCAATTTTGCTAGTTTAATTAGCAATTAAAATACAACAATTTAACAGATTCAATTCTGCCAAACTGAAATTCTTTGAGAGAAAACTTTTAGTTAGCACCTTCAACACAGCACTGCGGTTCCAATGGGCTTTTAATAATAAGTGTTTTTTCTCTTTTGGACATCACTGGTCATTACTATTTGTTATATTTACTCATTTCCAACTCTGTATTTTCACAGGTCTACGAGCAACATACATGAGGCATGCTTATGACTTTTATAAACCAGATCTGACATCGGAATATCCAGTTGTTGACGGAAAACTTTCTGTTAAAAGTTATATTTCAGCACTTGATAATTGTTATAAAAATTATTGCCGAAAAGCTTCAACCAAGTTAAAAACAGGTTTTTTGTTTGATAATCTGATGATAGATGTAGATAGATGTATTGTTTTATTACTGTTTTATCTATATCGTTTTATATTTTTCGTCAGACCCACGACCCATGTTTTCTAATTTAACCTAGCGGGGAATTGCAATGGCCATAGACAGAAAGAAAAGACTTTTGTAGATTAGGTTCATAATATTAAAAATTTATTTTATTACTTGAATTAATTCTTGAAATAAAAAAAGCCGCAGACAATATATTGAAACTCTTCTAATATCAATACCATATGATCAGGTAATAGACACTCATCTCATAAACACCTTGCAATCATTTTGCATTTATACCTAATTGACAATTGTTTTAGACATTCAGCTTTCAGGTTATTGATCTTTAATTACTGTACCAGATTACCATCTGTTTTTTACAGTCATGCAAATGGTATTGATTGGATAGGTGTTGTTAAATCATAAATGGTTTTTAATCATTAATGACTTTGTTTATTGTATTGTTCTATTGAGTGTCAAGTAAATTTCAAATCATTTTTTGTCTAATGATGATTTATTGATCTATCTCATGATATATGAAGTAATTGCTCTAGGCTGTGTTATTCACAATTCAAAAATGCGTAATCTTGTTTTGAATGTTGGACTTTGTACACCTGCTATCATGATTAATTTAATCATACCAATGACTTCAATAATAGCCTTACTGAGGGCTGAGGCTTAAATGATACATCGTAAGGTATGGCTGCATGGCAGCCCAAAAAACCATTTAGCGACGAGGCCATTTAAATTGGCTATTGGAACTACATAACTCTCATTCCTAACATGCTCGGCAGAGCGGGCCATTTTAAAGGCGATCGGGACCATGTAAACATCTCTACACCTACCTGTCTATATCAGGGTGGTCCAAACCCAGGCCCGCGGGCCACATGTGGCCCGTCGCTACATTATCTGTGTCCCGCGTCGCATTGGCGGGAGAGTGAAAAAAAGCATTTTGCGTTATTTTGTCATAAAAATAATTTTTTTGCAAGTTTTAGTGGGGTTTTTGCATGTTTCAGCTTGATAAATGACGAATAATGAAAAGAGTTTGTTTTGTATTGCACTGTTTACCTATTATTGGCACTATTGTGGCCCGCGAACAATATGAAAATAATAGTGTGGCCCGCGAGGCCGACAACCTTGGACCACTCTGGTCTATATGACTATATGGTAGCTCAACAGCTTCCTATGAGAAAAGCTATTCAAATAGTGATTGACAATATACAGGGTGATTGAAAGGTAACTCCCTATTTTAAAAAAACTATAGTTTATTTTTAAAATATAATTTCTACAATTAATGAATATGAGAAGGAAGTATAATGCATGGGCTTATTGAAAAGTAACTCCCTATTTTAAAAAAACTATAGTTTATTTTTAAAATATAATTTCTACAATTAATGAATATGAGAAGGAAGTATAATGCATGGGCTTTTATTTAAAATTCAATATGGGCGCCTTTATTTGCCACCAGCTTCTCAAGTCGACCAGGAATCGCATCAACTGATTTCGCAAGAAACGCAGGGTGTTAAGTTAGGACTTCTGGCAGGCCATTCGTGCGAACCGCGACGACCCATCCATCTTCCAGGAAATTGAGCATTTAGCCATTCACGAACAACAATAGCAAAGTGTGGAGGAGCTCCATCTTGCATGAAAATCAAATCTTCAATATTTTCCCAAGCACTGATAATTGGCCAAATTTCATCTTTCAACATAGCGAGGTACCTTTCGGCATTCATGGTATCGCGAAGAATGAAGGGACCCACAATCCTATCAAAAGTAATTCCACACCATACCGTTACTTTGGATCGATTTTGCATTTTTTCACAGGTAACACGAGGATCTTCTTCCGCCCAGTAGTGGCAGTTATGACGGTTCACAAATCCACCTATGTGGAATACAGCTTCATCACTCCATAGAATATTTTTAAAAAGGTTGGGCCAATCTCTAAACCAAGCCAACATTATTTCACCAAACTCCATACGAATGTCAAAGTCTTCTGCAGAGAGTGCTTGACAGTAATGCGGCTTCCAAGCACGCCATTTAAGCTCGTTTTTTAGCACATTACGTACACAATGAAAGGAGAGCCCACTTTCTCTTGTTGCTTGACGAATTGACTTATGTGGGCTACGGGTAAACATTTCTTTAACAACTTGCACTACCTCAGGATCTCTGGATTTGAAAGGACGACCGCTTCTTTGAGTATCAGCCACAGATCCTGTGGTCATAAGTTTTTTATGACAATTCTTGATCGTCTTCGGGTCAATTTGGGCATGTTTTCCCTTAATAGTTCTCCACCATCTTTGCACTTGAACAATGCATCCCCAAACTTCATAACGCGCGGCTATCTGGGCACGTTCCTGTAGAGTAAGACGTCCAGCCATTTTTGTAGGGTTTTGAAATAAAATAAATTTGAAAATTTCTCATATTCATTAATTGTAGAAATTATATTTTAAAAATAAACTATAGTTTTTTTAAAATAGGGAGTTACTTTTCAATAAGCCCATGCATTATACTTCCTTCTCATATTCATTAATTGTAGAAATTATATTTTAAAAATAAACTATAGTTTTTTTAAAATAGGGAGTTACCTTTCAATCACCCTGTATATATCCATCCCTAATCCTGAATCTAAATCTCCCTAATATAAAAATGAATGAAAAAATTCCGTACTCTTTTGTAGCGATACAGTGTAATCTCACAATCTCATCCATAGTGTATAAATAGGTATGGGTAGGCAATACATTATTTCCTGTCTTTACTAAAGTGGTAGCTCGACTTTTATCGATCCTTTTCTGGGGTGGCAGGCAGGAAAATACCATAAAATTTCCTGTATGGAAAAAATGAAACACTTTTTTAATTTTTTTCAGATGTTCCGTTCAGTTTACGGGATCTTGATTTTATGGTTTTCCACAGTCCGTATTGTAAACTTGTCAAAAAATCTCTCGCTCGTCTCGCTCTCAATGATTTTCTTCAAGACAAAATAAAATATTATTCCGAAACAGAACAGAAGTGTTTTGCTGGGTTAGAAAACCTCAGGTAACATTCTTCCATTTTTCTTTATGCACGGCATATTTATCTTCCTTTCCATCTGAACAAGGCTCTGTATGAGTTGCCACAAATATGTAAATAGATATTATGTCTGCATCGATTTGGCATTGCACACCTTACCTGAAATGGCGCCATAGTTGACTCCAATGCTTTTCTGATGTATCCATATCATGTTGGTTTTAAAATAAATTGTGTAACTCGCCCTAGACTACTCATTTGCCCAACAAATAACAATCACTAGGATGAAACGAGAGTTTCAAAAAACTAAAACCACAAACACTGGAATCCATACAAATAAAAGTAATAAAATTAAAATCTCAACTAATCCAATGGATATTTACAGCAAGGTAGTGAAACCTGGTAAATAACCTGGGATTTATCTTTGACTATTTCGCATTTTTTCCACAAAAAATAGTTATTTTCCTCTATTGGTTAGTTGGTCATTTATTTTGATTTTGAAATGTTCAAAAATAACAAGTAAAAATCTTGGTACTGAATCATATCTTGGAATCACTGCCTCACTGGTAATTTGATTTGAAAATTTTCAGTGAGCCATCTTCAATTTTTATTTGCAGGGAAACAGACCTTGCTTCTTCAATATTTGATAAATCAGTTGAAACTACGTTCATGACAGCAAGTAATAATTTATTCGAATCGAAAACTCATCGTTCGCTGTTGATAGCAAGTCGTGTTGGGAACATGTATACTCCATCGTTATACAGCTGCCTCGTGTCTGTTTTAATAAGGTAAGTCTAGATGGGGCTCCAGAAGTGTGTGTACCAATATGGAGGTAACTAATATCGTTCGCCTACTTTACATCAAGTTATGTAAAGGGACTGAAACCTATGGCTATGTGTATTCACTTGTCCAACACAGACAGTCCTCGAACTCGTTATAGAGCTAATTCCAAATTTATTTATTTTTCTTATTAATATCTGATGTGCAATATCATATAGCCTAATAGTTCAGAGACTGTATTATGTCTCAAATTTTTCTTTTGTTATTAAGAAAGTACTTTTGGACTTTGGAACCTCTGACATTTCTTAAGTCGATCTTTTTTTTTCGTCTGTTCACTCTTTGTATTGTATTCTTTTCTGATTGAATATTAAATTATAAACATCCAGGGGACGGTCGCTTCGCTACCCGCGAGGAGAAGTTTCAACAGATAGTTTAACGTCGTTCAAAATTCGAAAGCATGTCGGGGTGACTGTTACATTCACGAGTCGTTGCGCCGGACGAATTGCGCAAATTCGTCCGGTGCCATGCCCCCGATCCGTTTCGACAATTGAGCAGTATAAATACGAAATAATAAAACAAATATCTCGTAAAAAATAAAATACGTAATTATTCCAAGAATAAATTATTCAGAAATCGAACCCGGAGTCCAGTCCGCCATCCCTACTCATGTGTTCAATATTATTTGTGCAATGTTCAACAATAATATGTACACAAAAACATAACAATTTCCTTCATGCCATTGATACAGAACAATAACAAAATATCATATTACCATATATGAAAGAAATCTTACTTCACCACACGTCAGCAAATACCTATCTTAATATTGAACTTATTCAATTGTAGCTGTAAATATCAGATAAAATTCAGATATCTTTGTACAAGTGACAAAACAAAATATTAGTATTGCATAAATATCAGTTTATTTCGACTCTATATTAAGCATATTCGACGATAAAATAAATGACAAAAACAAATAAAAAAATACTGTTTTATGTAAGGTTTAAAACGTAAAGATGTTAGATTTGGAAGGCAATATCGAATAAATTTAAAGTGCTCACCCAGAAGTATTAAATTCATGCACACACGCACACATATATACATACCGTCACAGGCATAATCAAATTAGCAGAGGCAAAGAGAAACACAGGATTACTCACAGGATAATAAATAGAAAAATATACGCAAACTAAAGCAAAAAAAGGAATGAAACTTAGATATCTAACATTTGATGACTTGTCTACGCTTATATATAAACATATATCAAAACGTTTACATTTACTACAATAAACTAAATAAAATGACATTTGACAATACAATAGAGCGATGCTCAAATATATAGACACGAAATGCGAATTGCCTTAAACGTGTATTCGATCTATTACATTATACTATCGGTACCTGGCGTCACGGAGGTCGTGAAACGTGTTTTCATATTTAAAATTTATACAGAGCATTTTTATTAAAATGTCGGATTTCCCACAAAGTTTTACAATATATGAAAGTGATAGCATTTCATCAAAAAATACAACCTCTCAACAATTAAAATTTCAAAGCTATTGGTCCAGTTTAGGATAAAACGATTGTTTTCATAATGATAAGAGGAGGATTCGAACAACATAACAAAACGATCCATATGTTCATAAACTTATAGTATTGAGTGGCGTATACGAATACTATTTATTTGTAACATTCACACCATTTACTAAAAATTCTAATACTCCTAATTTTTTAAAATATCATCAACCCCATTACGATGATTTTACAAATTATTTAGTGAGTGGGGTCGTATGTGTACGTTTTTCAAACTTTGTTGTAAGCTATTCTTGCCTTCTGGTATATCAGCTTTTGGTTTTCTGATTACTTTCTGCGTTGTTCTGTTATGTATCATAGTGCCGAAATTATGAAAATATGAAACACTATCAATATTACTTAGCAACACTTTATTTTAAAAAATTGCATTACTGCCTACAACAATGCGTTGGACTGTTTTAGTTTGCCCTTTCCCACACGACCTCTCTTTCATGGGTGACCCTGCCAGGAGTTAATGCTCCGGCCAGCACAGATCGTGAGTTCATTAAGGGACTAAAGCCTACCTGCCACGACAAGGCAACAGTACCATAGGTAGGAAAAATTTTGTGTTTAGCAGTCTATATAGTATCTCCAATATTTATTAAAATCCTAAGAACCTTTGTGATCACTATCACAATTCAGTGTTTTCAGTTCCGACAATTCCGTTATGCTCATCAACTCGAAGTCTTCCCAGTCTTTCAACCGTAAGGTTTTCATAAAACTGATACCTACCATCAATTGTGATACCTCCTGAAACCAAATTGAACATGACGGATAAAACCGTTTCTGGGGTAAAATGTCGTCCGATGTGATCATGTATTGTTTGTTCCACATGTCGTCGTTGCTTTTCCGCATCGCTTCGAGAAATATCCTCAGAGAAACCGTATATTATAGCAAGGGGGGCCCATGGCATATAATGTCCTTGGCTGGTGAAGGTGGTTCCATTGCCAGCGTTGTGCTCCGCGATTCTTTGCTTGATGTTGCGTCCTGTCTGTCCCAAATAGGACACATTTGGAAATGGCAGAGAAATGAGCAGATATACAACTCCGGACTTGAAACATGGAATTTCTCTGGAACTGAAGGAATAAGGATAGTCTGAGTTTGATAGGTAGTGGGATTGCCTACTCATATTTGTCATTAATCTTGCAGATATGTGCGATGTCCAAAAATCATCGGTTCGTAACATTTGAGCAATTGTGCTACTTGTGACTGATTTATCGCCAACAAAATATAAACACGCTAAGGTCGGTACTCGCGACAAGAGTACTAGAAGTTGAGATTTCTCCCAGAGACGTAGATGCCGCTTACTCGGCTCTTGATTATTAATTTCAGTGGCAACGAGACGGCATGTTTCTCCCATTACCCGATGAATAGTGTTAGCCTTGTAAAAGCGAACAGGTAATTGAAGTCTTCTTGCATTAATCATACCGCTTATCAACACATCAGGGGTATACCGAGGTTTCAAAATGAAATCAGACCAATTTGAGTCGAGCGTAGAGAAAGACCGTTCGCCCGGGGGCACGAGTTTGACTCTAACTGCAACTTCCGATTGTAGTTGATCCGCTTGCAACAATTCATTAACAATGCAAAGTTGGCCTTGTGAAAACTTCGCATTTCCCGAATTGTTGTTGTATGTCAGTCTGAGGACAGCACCGATGAATAACGAAATTTCTTCTGGTTCTAAAACTTGTCTGGTGATTGCATGCGTTTGCGTTGTATTAGCTGGTCCCCAACTCGCTCCATCGTATACTTCATCAGTAGAAATAAACTTTACCAGTTGCACGTTAGGGTCATTTGCTTTACCTTCCAAAAATTCGTCAATTGCCATTTGTTCCGCTTTTCGCGTTGATACTATCCTCATTGCGTCTTCTGGAACACTATTCCAATTTCCTACAAAATTGCAGTTGTCACCGAGAATGTTGACGATATCGATTACTTGCGCTTCTTGCAAAGACGGTTTTCGAATCAATGCTATAATTTTTTGGAGTTTTCTATCACTTGCTGATCGGACGAAATGCTTCAATGGTAATGCTTTAAAAAAAGCCATAAAATGCATTGACGTCCAAAATGGAGCGCCTTGAGGAGGTGGGAGCTGACAAGGATCCCCATTAGCGATAACGAGCTTGTGCCCAAAACACTCATCCGTAGACATAATTTCCTTCATGCATCGGTCTAGCATGGCGTAGGTCTCAGCAGAAATAAGTCCAATTTCTTCGAAAATGAATATATCGGTTCTTTGTAACATAACCATTTTTTTTCCGGATTTACTTAAGCTTTGCATCATATGGCAATATGATTTGTCTGGTGATTTGTTGTATTTATCCGTGACCGGCAAAGGGAACATTTGATGTATATGTATTCCACCTAATGATCTGGCTCGTTCCGAAGTCAAGGAAAGTAGCGTCACACGGAATCCTAGGCTCAGTGCAATGAATGCGATAAGCTGAATCAGGAACGTTTTGCCTGCTCCTGGAGGTCCAACAATGCACGGGAATTTGCTACTAGATGATACCGGTTCAGGATTCATGTATGCTTTTATTGCATTTAGTGCAATCTCCAGTGTCATGACTTGTTCCGAATAACTCTCGTCCGTTTGAAGATCTGATCTCGGCATTAATGAGGCAACCGCGCTTTCGGAGAAAAGTGGAATCCAATGATTGATTGGTTCAGCCAAATTGGCATGAAAAACATCTTCAGTCGTCGGCAGATTTGATACTCCAGCGTTAAGTAATGCACTATGTAGCGATTCGATTAGGTTTCGTCTTCTGACGTTTTCTATCATTGCTATCTCGTCTTCAGCAGCATTTCTAATTGCTAACTCCGAAATTGGGGGTATTGCTGAAGAAATATCGCCGGAACCGCAAACAATTTCCATTATGAGGCTGTCTGCTATTTTCGTAAATCTTTCCAGCTTTCTTCTTGTAATCGGTAGATGAAGGCCTTCTGCATCCATGTATAGCTTAAAGATTTCGTTTGCATCTTCCTGATTGTATTCGGATTTTCTTGCAAGAAGTCCAGCACGTATAAATACGTCGCGAAAAGAAGTCGTGCGGTGGAACAAGTCGAATTCCGTTTCATAATGTCCGAGAGTCAGCACTATGTGATAGATGAAATTGATTTTCCTATTAGGGTAAATATAGGAGCTGACAGCGACAGTTTCTTTGACGTCTTTCTCGTGAACGAAATCTTTTGAAAGCTGTTGGGTGTCGGCATCCGATTTCGACGAAAGGCGTGTAACGAGATCAATGAGGAAATTTCTACTTTGCACGTTGTGGTCGGATATCTCCTGAAACAAGATTTATTTATGGTATTATGATTATGGTAATATTTTACTAAAACTGAAGCCAATATTTAATATTTCACACACTATAAAAGGATTTACACCAGTTAATTTGGACATTAATTTGAAGGCTGTCATATTTGCCTTTTTACCAAACATAATTGAATTGAATAGCCCCAATTCATTTAAACACAACTAACCATCATAATTGATTTTTTAATGACATTGACTATTGACTACATAAGCTGTTCATTATTCATTGTTGGGTAGTGCGATCTTATTGAATCGCTATCAAAAATTGATAAGTGAAACCCTACTCTTTATAACGTGTCTGACAAACACGCCAGCAGTTGAGTCGCTGCTGTTTTAACTCGTCATTTCAATGAAATAAACTTTCGTACACACACTATGAACAACGATGTAATATATACTTTCTTACCCGTAAAAAGTCTCGTAACTTGTTAAGTGCACATCGTCTTATCTTCACCTCGTACCCACGCGCGTCATAAAGTCTGTCAGTCATGGGATCTAAAGATATTTGAAGGTTAGAAGTTGCTCGATTACCCGTATAAATAAATATCTCATGATACAAGAGCAATTTATTAACTGACAACAGCTCGGGAGGGCGAATATTAAACTTTTCAGTATTGGAATAGACTAACTCAGATTCGTTATATTCTCGAGCATGCAACTCCTGATTTACAGTAAATCGCCGCCAATGAGGAATGGTTTCAACAAGTCTACAATCAATGAATGGCGAACGACCTCCAGTTATTCCATGATCACAATTACGTACGCTAGCATTCTTCGATTTAACACGCCAAACACGATACTCCGGAGGATTTGTGTTAACATGTATAAAGTTAGCAGTTGAAGTTGTATAACTTGCATCATTAATGAAAGTATTCATTTCGTAGTATCCTATTTCAGTCACTGCTAAACCTTTCAATTTATTTCTATTCGTCTTTTTATCGTTAAGCAGTTGTTGACCAGAAATTTTAACATGCTCTAATCCACCGTCAATAACTTTTACATTACCTTTTTCGACTCCTTCCAAATACTTACCGCCACTATGGCTCTCTTTACCTACGTGATACTTTATCAAATATGACGTTGCGAACCGACGATCACATGCAGTACAGTTGAAACTCGAACCCAAAGCGCATTGCAATAAAGGAATGGTCGGCAGATAAGTTGGTGGGCTCCTCGTTGGGTAGTGGTATCTGCCTCCCCGTAGCCTCGGATCAATCATTGTCAATCTGCTGGAAATAGAACCATCGGGTTGTCGGCAATTAGTGTTTTCGGCAAATCCGATGCGTTTCATTCTCTCCATCATATCAGGACAATAAAGGTCATGCTTCTCCTGAAAAAAGTACTGATAACTTGTTGGGTGCCTAGGTACTCTACAAACCATTTCTCCTTTCTCGTTTTTACGCTTCAAGCAGCGTTCTCCAGCCCTCGAACAATTATGCGTGGACATTTTGATATATAGTTGTTTGAGGTCATCGAAGTCTGAAGATCTTTCAACGATTCCATTTTTCAGGAGTTGCTGACGTGTGACCCCAAAGCTTTCATCATTAAACACGGTTTCAGGATTGCAAGAAATACGACTCAACGTTGTTTCTACTGGTTCGTCGAATAAAGCAGCACCGATGTGGACGTGGGCTTTGTTGCCAGGTGAACCTGTAGATTGAAATTCCAAACGAGCAAACATGTGCCTAATAGGTCCTGCAGGCTGATCTGGGCTATTAACGAGATACTCCAGAAAAACGTTAATGAAACGGAGCCACATCCTGTTAATCATTCCTAAGTTAGCGTAATAAATTCTAGGGTAATCGGACAGATTCTTACTCATCTCCTTCATACTACTAATTACCCGCATTATACCTGGAGTCCTGACTTCGTTGCATGTCATCGTCATCCAGTACTTCCAAGGATACTTCGTAGTAAGTGCTGTCAATTCACGAATTTTTATATTACTGTCGGATTCATCATATGGAAGAGGACTGTCTTGTACCAAACAATGAAGAGACTTGTTTTCGGCTATATGCTCCAATCCTCGTCTGAAAACAAGGGCAGATGAATTCTTGTTTAATTTATCATTTAGCTTAAGGTCAAAATAAAAATGCAGACTTGAATGTTGTTGACTCGTTGGCAAGTTATGATCACGTAATCGAATGCCAATCATGTCGTCTTTGGATCGCAATGACCTGGAGGTGCGAGAAGATGATGTGTTGCAGAAATGGGCTTGATGCATAGCACCAATTGGAGAATTCCCTTTCATTGCCCAAAACGTTGTCGGAAGAATTTGTGCCTCGGGAAAGAGTAGAGACACTGCCGTCGAATCACCATTCCCAGCAAAGTGATGGAGCAAGTTTTGAGTCTTTGCATTCTTTCTGCGGCGTGTGCTTCTTTTCAAAACCTGAAAAGTGTCATTCAATAAAATATGTAACGGAAAATAGTTACTAGCCGCGTTAAAAGAAGGTATGTTTGTTGACACTGTATGTAAAGGATCAACAATTATTTCATCCTCAAGAAAGTCTAAGTTAGAATGATGTAACAAAACTTGACTCAAATCAACGTCATTATCACAATTCAAGTTATCGTTATCTGCAGATGAACTGTCATTAATATCGTAATCAATATCAGTACCTTCATCCATACTCACCGCATCCGGTGCCACATCATACTCACTTTCTGATTGTATTTCAACAATCTCACCGTTTCGCATCTCAGACGTAAAATGTCCTCGACATATTCCTACATTACACTCCATCCCCAAATAGTTCCATTGACATCCCCAAACAGCTTTATTGGTACACGTTCTCTTGAAGCATTGCTTATTAGTGTAACGAGACTCCTTCATGAGAAATTCATGGTGTTGTTCATTTCCACACTTGAAATATTGTTGGCCGTCTAATGATCTTGAGAGGATTTCTTCGTTGACCGCATTTGATGTTGTGCCATATATTGCTAGCTGCCAAGATGGAAGCTGTGGAAGAAAGTTATACTTATGCGTCCGTTGGTCATTGACCAGCCACCAAAGTAACGTGTGATCCCATCTAAAAGCATGACCATGCTTGGAAGACAACACCATGAGAAGATGTCTCCCCATAAATTGATGAGGAGGTGAAGAATGACGGTTTCTCGAAGATGTAGGCTTGATAATCAACAACACTTCTTCATCATTAAGCAGTAAATGGATTGGATGACTGAAATCGTCCGTAACGTGTGACACACATTTTTTAACAAGCAAACATAAAACGTTCGATAAAATTTCTGCTTCCGAAATTCTGACTTGTTGTCCATGCGTCTGAATAATTCTCTTGAAACTGTCCTGAAAAACAATCTTTGACATACTAAGTTTACAACGGGTTTGAAATTTTTCAACAGAAGCAACAGTACATAAAATTGAAGCGGTATACTGGTCTTTGTTTTCAACCGCTTGCATTAGAGCTAAGTTATATAATTGCCTGCAATGGATGAGAATAAAAGATATTAATCCAGCAGGTGACCACGAGTTTACGCAATCCTCATAATGCGAAATGTTAATGACTTTACTAAAATCAGTTCCGAGCTGACATCGGAAAGGTTTACAGCCAAACGAGTCAGCCGGATGTACAATAGCTATAAACATCTTAGTTGGCTCTATTAACTCACCATCATGTTGTTGAGAAGTCTGTACTTGCCTTGCGTGGCCTGCTCGCCACATATAATAAGCATCAATTTCCGACACATAGGTTCCCGAAGACAAATGTTTCTGAATAACGTCTTCGTCATAAACACCCGACTTTTCTCGACGATGTACATTGTATGTAAGCAGGTACGATTCCGCATCCCGGCGTCTTCTATGATCCCTAAAAAGTCTTTTTCTAATATCATTACGTTGCCCTACAATAAGTGAATTAACTAGATGCTGATCACTAGAAATGATCATTTTAGATGGATTAGGATTTAGTGAGCAAGACGACATTCCAAAATGACCGCCACGAACGTCTATCACGTGTCCTGACGAATTCCATTGCTTTATCTTACCCAGGCGTTTTATGTGAGGTATAAGAGTACATGGAGCTAAGAAATCACATCCTTGTTCAGCATTTGGTCGAAGAACGGGATTCGTTGGTGGATGAATTGTCGGCCGCTTCAAAGACTCGTGCTTATCTTTACACCATAAAATGCATATTCCTTGCTGTTCCGACACCGCTATTCCAGCTGCGCACACATAACTTTCCAAATATGTCGTTGGCAAGGGTGGCCAATCGGGGCGTGCTCCTCTGAATGTTTCTGAATCAGCTCCTGACAATTTGACTTCCGTTAAATCTGTCAAATAATGTAGTAATGGAATAAAATCACAATCTTCTAAAAATTGCCAGCAACCCAAAGGGCATACGACGTCGGCAACTGGGAAAGCATTAAAAGCCTCTTTAATGTAGCCTATGTCAAGAGTTGCCACTAAAGACTTAAATTTATTAATATCGTGAGTACGATCCACAAATCTACATTCGGTGTTGTTCAAATGCAATACTCGCCACATTTCCCTAATTGTAGATGGTAAAACTGACCAAACTTTATTTGAAATGTCACCGCTCAGTGACAAAATATACCATAGTACACTGGGCCAAGAGCAATGCCAGGATTGCTTAATTGTCATAAAAGTAGTTGAAGTTAAATACTTACAACAAAGATCGCAAAGCAATACCTGCTGTGAAGCTACCATACCACGCCGAATAAATCCGAACTTTTTACGTTTGAGTACCGGTGACCGGTTGCGCAAATTAATATTATACTTCTCTGTACTGTTTCTGCAGCAATTGGCACATGTTCTGGTCGCTTGTTTAACCCCTTGAAGTCTCAACGGATATTCCGGTTTGTCAGGCCTTTCCATTCGCTGAGGTACAGGGTTGTTTGATGTCATTTCCAAAGTTACAGTCTGCGAAACATCTCTGATATCTTTTTCATGGATTGACTGCTGATCTTCTAAATGACAACTTGATACACAATTAGCAGAGGAATTGTCAGAAGATGCAAATGACGGAAGAAGAGCTACGTAATGAAGGTCATTAGATAAATATCCTATATTAACCACTTGTGGAAAAGTGCCGAATGATCCAAAATGTTTTGTCCTGTCGTCCCATAAACGAATTGTTATGGGAAACAAGGCAGCTATTGCATAAAAACAACATGTCTGGGCCCATTCACGAGTACTTCTTGTTAAAGAAACAAAAGTAGTAAATTCCGAATCGCGATCATCAGAATCGGTTTCTAATAAATCTCTATAAATATCCGGACGACTACTTAGTTCATCTGCCACGATTGCCCTAAATTGCTCGATATTATCCGGTTTATTAGGTAAGCCTAAAGATCGCATACCGTCTAGAATTGAAATGTACGCGCAGTCGCCATCTCCAGTATTGTTTAATAAATAAAAATTGTTCAAATTACAGACCTGTTTAAGCCATACAATACCACCTGGATTTTGAAAAGACCCATTGCAAAGTCCGTCAGTGCAAGGCGAAGGAGCGGTTGTCGGTAACAAATCTCGAACTGTTGGTCCAAAAACCTGGTAACGAGTCCCTACTTCTCGTGTTGAGTTACACTCCGCCAAGGTCCCAATTTCCTCTACGTTCTCGGAATTCGGTTCAGTAGAATTGACTTCATTGGAAGTTGCCAACCATTGAAGCAATTTCCTTTCACCATTGCCGTCAACCAACGCTTTCACGCCACATGTTCTCACGTTGTGATCAGTCGCATTGCAGTATGAGCATGAACGTCTAGCGCGTTTTCGTCCAACCATTATGCACAATACCTGATAAATGTTGTATGTTAATAAATATTGAGGAAACTGTACAAAACCTAACGCAAATGATATTATTTTTTCCTACCTTAAATCGTAGCCGATCTTCAAATTATTGAAAACACGCGAATGAATGCACTTGAATGCCGGCTAACTGCTTGAACTTGGGACTGTATTATCAGTTATAAATATACAACGTAATGGGACGTAATGTTGACGTCCTTCTATTAGCCTATTTACTGATATTAAATATATTACTCTGTAAAATAATGTCATGATAATTATTAATGAATATAAATTGGTAACAATATAACCATTTCTTAAGGTAACAGTAAGATCGATTATGTCAATCAGCAAGATCACTAAACCGCCAAGGCACAAACGATGCTAGTAATCATAACTATACAATAACATTGCCAAGTTATCATCATGTTCTGACTATTCCTGACAGCATGCATAAAACTTACATTTGAGTATAACCTATATATATACAATTGCATACATTTAACGCTGCACGAATCAGAGAGTGTCTCTAACAAGTTGAATATGGTCCCAGTTATTTCAAGTAGACCCGGAGCGTAAAATTTAGCAAACAGTTGATGCACACTGCTGCAAAACTATTTGTTGCATTCAACAACTATATAACTTAAATAATAAACATAACAATAACATTGCAAGGATTTGCAAGTCTGCAACGAATCAATGTATCGCATAAAGGATTTCTATTGCTTACAATTTACGATCAAGTTCCCGTGCGTTTATCATTTCTTTCGAATTTTATCGTTCAGTAAACTTTAACTTATTTAATGGTATAAGCGATTCGATAATGATACCATTCGTCTACGCGTCTATTGGAATTGTTAATCATAACTTTCCTTATACCTGTAATAATTAGGTCTTAGTTTCAAAGATACATATTTCGTACACTGGAAGTATCTCTGCTAAACATCACATCAAAGACATATATGATAGGACTTCGCTAATCTTTGTATACTTTATTTATTAGGTTGATTACGTTTAGTTGATGCACACGTATGCAAAACTGTTTGTTGCATTCAACGACTATATAACGACCAATTGAATTGCTGTGGTAAATAAATGCAGGTTTCAAAGTCTTGATCCAATATGCAAACCGACAAAGAAAACAGACTTATATTATAAGCGACTAATAACAAATGGTTACATTCAATTTCATCCACAATAGCTAACTAACAGCAATAGCGTAATCAAGTTTTATCAATTTTAGGGCCCGTTTTCACTCAACCGTGACGAAATTTTTTGACATAAACTAGACCTCAATTAACTTGTATGACCCGAATATGGCATCTCTACCTGTCACCAATTCTCGAGATATAACGTAAAATCACTGGAGCATGACTGAGGAATTGGAGAAAAAAAGTTCCTGTCAAAATGGATTCAAATAATTTTTTCTAACATGCCCATGCTTTTACTTTCTTAATAAGTCTTTCCAAAGGCCTGCAATAAGCCAAAATCACTAAAGCGTGACTGGGGAGTAAGAAACAAAAAAAAACCTCCAAAAAAATGTTAAACTAATTTTCCAACGATACCTATCTATTTCATTTCTCAATAGCTCCATTTTAGGTACGCAACCGTCTTATGCCACTAGAGAGCCATTGGAGGGGAAACACCGATTTTTCGGCAAATAAAATTTCAAATAATTATACTCTTTGAGAATTAGGCAAATATTTTTCCCGGAAACCCCCTTTCACATGCCTCAAAATTGCCTAAAAACAATATAACCTGAGTGGCGTGGCTTTGCACAAGTTTTCTCACCACAGAGGGCGTGGGGGCTCAGCCCCCACCGCCAAAATTACTTGAAAAAATTCCCAGAGCTCGGCCAAACGCTTTCCCGTCCCGGAAATGCCGCTAAACGGCCTCTAAACCACACAATCACTCTTGCGTGACTTGATTGACAGCTTGATTGACAGATAACCACGCCCCTCGCTCAAAAACCCCGTTTTGACCCCTTTCCTCTGGCCCTATCGTTTCCAAAAATTTTCTGCGTCATGCGGACAGGCATACCTGACTAACGTGCTAATTACCTATTTCATCAGCCCTACCCTACATAGTGGAAATGCTCATCAGTCGGTCTCCCACGCATAGAATTTTAACTTCCACCTCACGTGCAACGTTTTCTGACTCAGACTGTGCATTCGCACTTTCAGTGCGACAGGTTGCGAGACCATCCAGGGACGGTCGCTGCGCTACCCGCGAGGGGAAATGTAAGGGAGATATTTGAGTATAAACGAGCGTATGTTTCATTATGAGTTTGTTGGATGCACCAGGGTCGTTGCGCCGGACGAATGCGGAAATTCGTCCGGCGCGTAGCCCCAGCCACTTAGTTCATTCAGTAGTTTAAATAACACGTCATAAACTGATCACTCTTGATGGGTGTCGATTTTTATCAATTTTAAGGTCCGTGATCACTCGACCGTGACGAAATTTTATAGGCATAAACTTTACTCCAACTACCTTGTATAACCCAAATATGAGACCCCTGTCTATTACCGTTCTCGAGATATGGCAGAAAATCACTGGACCGTTACTGAAGGCTACTAGAAAAAAAATTTTGCTGATACGTGATTGGAATGATTTTTCTGATCATGCCCATGCCTTTAGATTCTTGATAAGACCTCTCTGAAGCCGGCAAAAGGCCAAAATCACTAGACCGTGACGGAGGCACGGGAGCAAAAAAATTTCTTGAAAAAAGTATTAAACTAAACTTTCTCAACCTACTTATGTATTTTTTTTTCTCAATATCTCAATTCTTAAGCGCAACATTCCGAACTCACTGGACCGTTACGGGGACGGGGAATCCCAAAGTTCGGGTGGTGATATATTCTATTAATTAGTCCCTTCGATATTTATGCATCGCTTTGCCCGAAAACCGATTCCGAGTGCTCCTATTCGCCCGAAAACCATATTACCTAAGTGGGCGTGGCTTTCTACATGTTTTTTCGCCACTGGGGGGGCGGGGGCACATCCCCCACCCCCAAACATGTTTGGATAAATTCCCAATGCTCTGGCAAACCCTTCCCCGGCCCGGAAACGCAGCCAAAGGGCTTCTAAACCCCAAAATCACTCTTGCGTGACTTGACTGACAGCTTGATTGACAGGTGGCCACTAAAAGCCAGTTTTGGCCCACTTCCCCTGGCCCGATCGTTCCGAAAAATTTTCTGTGCTCGTTTGGTAACAGCCCCCAGCTACATGCCAAGTTTCAACCCGATCGGCCCGCCAGTTTTCTTGGAAATACCCTTTTCACCCCCACATATCGCATATACTTTCAACTAACCTGCCCTACGTGCAATGACCTCTGATATATACTGTGCATACGCACTAAAGTGCTACCGGGTTGCCATACCATCCAGGGACGGTCGCTGCGCTACCCGCGAGGGGAAATGTAAGGGAGATATTTGAGTATAAACGAGCGTATGTTTCATTATGAGTTTGTTGGATGCACCAGGGTCGTTGCGCCGGACGAATGGCGGAAATTCGTCCGGCGCGTAGCCCCCAGCCACTTTAGTTCATTCAGTAGTTTAAATAACACGTCATAAACTGATCTCTCTTGATGGATGTCGATTTTTATCAATTTTAAGGTCCGTGATCACTCGACCGTGACGAAATTTTATAGGCATTAACTTTACTCCAACTACATTGTATAACCCAAATATGAGACCCCTGTCTATTGCCGTCCTCGAGATATGGCAGAAAATCACTGGACCGTTACTGAAGGCTACTAGAAAAAAAATTTTGCTGATACGTGATTGGAATGATTTTTCTGATCATGCCCATGCTTTTAGATTCTTGATAAGACCTCTCTGAAGACGGCAAAAGGCCAAAATCACTAGACCGTGACGGAGGCACGGGAGCAAAAAAATTTCTTGAAAAAAGTATTAAACCAAACTTTCTCAACCTACCTATGTTTTTTTTTTTCCCAATATCTCAATTCTTAAGCGCAACATTCCGAACTCACTGGACCGTTACGGGGACGGGGAATCCCCAAAGTTCGGGTGGTGATATATTCTATTAATTAGTCCCTTCGATATTTATGCATCGCTTTGCCCGAAAACCGATTCCGAGTGCTCCTATTCGCCCAAAAACCATATTACCTAAGTGGGCGTGGCTTTCTACACGTTTTTTCGCCATTGGGGGGGCGGGGGCACATCCCCCAACCCCCAGACATGTTCGGATAAATTCCCAATGCTCTGGCAAACCCTTTCCCGGCCCGGAAACGCAGCCAAAGGGCTTCTAAACCCCAAAATCACTCTTGCGTGACTTGACTGACAGCTTGATTGACAGGTGGCCACTAAAAGCCAGTTTTGGCCCACTTCCTCTGGCCCGATCGTTCCGAAAAATTTTCTGTGTTCGTTTGATAACAGCCCCCAGCTACATGCCAAGTTTCAACCCGATCGGCCCGCCAGTTTTCTTGGAAATACCCTTTTCACCCCCACATATCGCATATACTTTCAACTAACCTGCCCTACGTGCAATGACCTCTGATATATACTGTGCATACGCACTAAAGTGCTACCGGGTTGCCATACCATCCAGAAGAAAACGTCTGCCTGCGGCACACGACGAGGGGGGCCGCGGACGCACAAATGGTTGGTTCGGCCCAAGCCGGGTATGTCCGTGACGCTCTGGCCGCCATCTGTTGCGTCGGACGGATCGCGGCATGATCCGACCGACGCCATTGACGCCCCCTACCATAAACAGTACTATCTGTATGGACGGGAGTCTATTTTTATCAATTCCAAAGTCCGTGATCACTCGACCGTGACGAAATTTTATAGGCATAAACTACACTCCAACTACCTTCTATAACCCAAATATGAGACCCCTATCTATCACCGTTCTCGAGATATGGCCTAAAATCACTGGACCGTAACTGAAGCCTACGGGAAAAAAATTCCGCTGATACGTGATTGGAATAATTTTTCTGATCATGCCCATGCCTTTAGATTCTCGATAAAACCCTTCATTAGCCGTCAAAAGGCCAAAATCACTAGACCGTGACGGAGGCACGGGAGCAAAAAAATTCCTTGGAAAAAGTATTAAACTAAACTTTCTCAACCTACCTATGTATTTTTTTTTCTAAATATCTCAAATCTCAAACGCAACATTCCGAGCTCACTGGACCGTTACGGGGAAGGGGAATCCCCAAAGTTCGGGTGGTAATATATTCTATTAATTAGTCCCTTCCATATTTATACA